ATAATTCTACAAATTGTCAGGGGGAGCCGACTTTTTCCCTAAGCGGGGGACACGAATTCTCTGAATTAGCTTGTTTTTTTTTTTTTTTAAATACTTTTTTTTTTACTAAATGATAGTATTCAGCATGTGAAATGAAAAATTTGTGAGGTTATAAAATCATCATTACAGTGTGATAAATATTCCATATAAAAAAATCTTCTATACACATAATAAAGAATAATCAATCAAATCTTTATATGCATATTGACATACATGTATTTTATTTCCTTCAGTATACATGTATACATTTAATAATTCTACAAATTCAGTCAGGGGGAGCCAACTTTTTCCCTAAGCGGGGGACACGAATTCTCTGAATTAGCTTGTTAGATGTAATGTTCAAACGTAACGTTCCTTAGTGTTTTGAGTCTTGGGTAATTAGGAAAGATAACTCTTGAAAGTGGAATTTTTATACCAAATATTTTTTAAATTGGAATTTTCATTTCGTTTTAACATTCTTCACTCAATTTGTCCATACAATTCATGGAAATACATTCCTTGTCTCTTCAGAACTCATTTTCTCAATATTTTATGCACAGATTAAAAAGATAATGACATTAATTGTTTTTTAGGAGAAAACTATTTTTTCTAATAAAATCAATATTAGGTATTATGAGGTATTTTCATTGTTGTGTACTTGTCTAATGAAGATGTCCATCGTTTGACACTGAAACTTCTGAAATTCTGGTAAAAATAAACTTGAAATAAACACTTTACTAAAATTAGAAAAACAGTTTTTAAAAAATCTCTGAAAAATATTTATGATATCAATACCTCCATTTGGATATTTGACATCTACATTATAAGTGATGCTATAATGAAATCTAAAAATAAACTGTGGGTGTAATGAGCCACCTTAAACTTCCGAATCTGTTACTGCTTGAAAAGCAATAGCGAATTCATAAGATCGAATTCTAGTTTCTCTAGTGTGATATTTTAGGAATCTCTGTCTTGTTTGATGGATATGCGAAGCCTGTTATAGAAATTATTCCACGTTTCCAACTGTCGTTCATGGCCTGGCATACGCAGCACAGTTAAGGTTACAGTAAGGAGGCGGAGCCTAATTTATACGGGAAATGTTCATTATGACATCACACAAAAATGTCAGTTCTTTAAAATACCACAAACATAAAAACTTAATTATACACACAGTTTTGTGGTTTATTAAATTTCACATAACAAAATATGAACGAATCATGATCGTAATGCTCTTGTCAATGTGGCGTAATCTCGTAAAAGTTGACACAGTTTGTGCACAGTGAGAAGCTGATCAAGTAACATTTTGTACGATGAAAAATGTCTTGAATTCAAATAAAATATTATTCGCAGTTATGTAACAGGCGTAAAGCGATGTCTATTTACTACCGGGGGTATTTTATTTATATATTAATGTCCGTATATTTTCTAGAAAAGTGATACTGTCGTGTGTTCGTATGCAGATTCATTGAAAGAGTAATATAGGGGCCCTAATAAATCGATTCAGAGCATGAGATCTACATGCATATTAGACCTTCTTAACCTTTCTCTTGGCAAAATTTACATTCCGGTTGAATTATCAATAAATCAAATCACTTCAAAAGAGTTCATAGAAAACAAACTTTTATAGAAATTGAAAAAATATAGCAAAAGTATTAATGGTTAATATTTGTTTTGGACATAAAGTATTTAAAAACAATGTATGTCAAGAAACGATTAATCAAGATAGAGCTGAACCAGGACCACAGCAAGCGAACACGTCAAAATCGTTGGTACCTATGGAAAGGTCTTGTCACAAGCTAGGAAAATACCTGTGATATATGAAATGTGATGAAACTGTGATATAATTTTAAATGTTCAAAGATATTGTTGAATGGCTTGACTGTGGTATTCTTATTTTGCAGGTGCATGTCCTATGTCCAGACCTTTCTCTCAGTACCAAACATATTGACCTTGGAATTTGATTTAGTTAAGATACCGTACTAGTATCTAAAAAAATAAGTTAAATCTGTTGGTTAATTTGTGATTAATTTGTTGACCCCCAGCCTCCTTAAGAAAAAAAGACTTTAACATTGACAATAACTTTTGAACTGTGGGTACCAGGATCATATATCACAAGTATTCCTGATGACAAGACCTTTTGGTTCCAACATTTTAACCTCATGATTTAATCTGAGAGTTTAACCTGCGTTTAAAGAAAATAACCTTGTCTATAACTACATGTAGTAAACTGCTGATTCAAGGGTTTTCATATTATATCTATGCATTTTTTGTGATAAGATCTTTTCTTTTCTACCAGTTAAAAAAAACCACTTTTTGGAAATATAGTTTTCACAAACACTGATACACATATATCAATTTATTGTAAATTGTTAATTTTTATTACGTAAGTAAAAAAGGCTCTTGGACATCAAACCGCGAGAACAATAATTCGGGGGTGGCTAATCAAGAGACTTTAAACAGCTAGATTTCAGGACATTTAATTGTTCCGTTTAAAAAATCTTAACCTATAGTGTAATAATAACACAATATTTCCCTTGTCTGTCTCATGTTATTTGTTTTATTATATGTTGTTGGTCTGTTATTTTATACTATAGTATACTCCATTTGTACTTTAAAAAGCGGGCTTCATATTTTAGCGGCTTTGGGGCAGACAACAATGCTAATTCATGAATACCGCCAAGAAATCCAATACAATACACTGAACGAACATGCGTAGTACTAATTTCTGATTACACCAACAACTTCTCTCCCAGTGAATACTAGTACGCTACATTTTGAATACACGCACAGTATGCTGTGGGTCTTTTATTATATATGTTGTATGTATCTATTATTATACATGCTGTAGTTCTATTATTATATAGCGTGGGTCTATAATTATATACTGTGGGTCTATTATCATATGCCACGGGTCTAGTTTTATATGCCGCAGGTCTTTTATTATATGCCATGGTCCTATAATTATATGCCGTGTTTCTATTATTATATGCTGTAATTATATGCTTTGGGTCTTTTATCATATGCTGTGTGACTATTATTATTTGCTGCATGTTCGTAATTACATGTATATGCTGCGAGTCTACATTATTATATGCAGCATAATGCTGTTAGTTCATAGATATATGCTGTGTGATATATTATGTATTTGCAGAACCATGTGATATGTAATTAATATAATGAGCCAACAGCGCATAATAATAATAATAAGACCCATATATGCTGATTAGTAAGTTATTTTTTACGATTAAAGATTTTTTTGTTTAAAATGGTAATGTATCGCAAAAAAAAAAAAACAACAACAAAAAACAAAACAAGAGGCCCATGGGCCACATTATTATATGCAGCATAATGCTGTTAGGTCATAGATATATGCTGTGGTTTTAATAGTATAATAAAAGAGCTACAGCATATACTTTTGAAACCACAATATATTAAATAACAGAACCATGTGATATGTAATTATATAATGAGCCAAAAGCGCATAATAATAATAATAAGACCCATATCGTATGATTTTAACAATTTAGAATCTTTACTATCCCAGCATGCTTTTTTTTTTCTGGCTCAGTGGTTCGCGTGTTGGAAATTTTGCGAAAAAGGGGTAGAAGATTTTCAAAGATTTTTCAGTGGCCCCACAGCTTTTAATTTGCGTAAGTTATTTTTTACTATTTTTTAAAGATTTTTTGTTTAAAATGGATAATGTATCGCAAAATTCCCCTTCACCCAAGGATGCTTTGTAAACCAAAAAAAAAAAACAGACCAAAAAAAAAAAAAAAAGACCAAAAAAAAAAAAAAAAAACGGATATACGGTATACGGTACTAATTTATAAGACACCTAACATAAGGAAGCCATGGCGTTCCATAATCCCAACTCTGATTTCCATGGAGTACCTCTCCCAGAGTCGCACTTCAATTCAATTTTCTTTATTCACTCAAAACCAGATCACTGGCAAATGCACTGGCAAACTGTTATTACAATTGTTTTCTACGATAATTTATATACATAACCATAAATGACATGCTTGTCCTATTTTCTTTTATCTCCGTAAACCGCCAAAACTCTGCTCGCCGATCTGAAAAGTCGACTTAAACCATGAAATGGTATTTGCTGATCCGGACAAAGAGCAATTTAAAAATGAACTAGTTGAAAAATTCAAATATTGAAGTGAAAAAAAAAATGTCGTCATGTCATTTTCTATTAAAAAAAATTACATTTTCTTCCGGTATAATATTTTAGAAACACATTTTTAGCCAATCAAAATCCAATCCAGAAACACATTCCGCCAGAGGTTAGCAAACACCATTTCATGATGTAAAGCGACTCGAACCATGCTCTAATATTATTGGCTGATCAAACAGGGGAAAGTCTTGTCCTATCTGGGTGCAAAACACACCCTACCAAACAACCTCTTTTGAACTTTCATGACTTTTGCATCAACATAATGGAGTTTGAATTCCAAACCAGTCAACTATTTTTAAGGAAAGCTGGTACAAGTCTATGTTTTAGATTACGCCGATAATAAATTCAGTGCACGGTCAATGGCCGGTGATAGCCTGTCGACAATTTTAAATTAGTACTTGTCCATGACCCTTGTCGTAGTATCAACATTTCCATAAACTTATAAAGATGGCTGCAAAACACGAAGTCTTATTTATCCGAACAAAGTAATTTTTCCACATTATGAACTGTTTAATAATTAATTAGTCTACAGAAATTGACTTGTTTTACAATGCTTCCTATCAACTTGCTCTTTATGTTTAACATTTATACCCAGTTCTGTTGATTTACTGAACTTAATTATATTGGAAGCACGTTTGCAGTGCTAAAACAGGAGATTCTAAGCAGGGACATATCCTATTTCTGTTCTGAGTAAATTTGTACAGCCAAAATAACTGAAATTATTCAATAAGGTTAATTTTTGGTTTCACACGTGCACATTTTACCGCCATTTTTTGAAATAAAAAGAAAAATAATAAACACATTTCGATCTATATATAGTTTATTGATTTTTCAAGTATAACTCCTAACATATATTCAAATAAAAAAAGATGGACAATTTGAGCTCGTAAGCCTTCTTACCCATTTATGAGACTATATATCCAAACACACACAAAAAAGAATTGAATAAAAACGAATGAAGAATGTCACGATTTGATGGCCTTGGTGGATGGCGGTACAGGTGCTTCGATACAAAGGTGACCGTCTGAGGACAAAGTGGAGGTCAGTTTTCCCGCGTCCACGCTCTCCGGGAGAACATAGGATCTAGTGAATTCTCTGTAGACCTTCTTCCCTTTGTCGGACTCCTCATGCTTGGCGTGGACTGTTAGTTTGTTTCCATCCATCGTCTTCACAGTGACCTCCTCTGGTTTGAATTGGCTGCAGTCAAATTTCAGATGCAGTTTCTTATTTCCCTTCTTGTCCTCCACGATGGGATTCTCCAGGTCTAGCATGTTTTCCCCAAAATGAGCAACATCAAATGGATCTTTGTCTTGTTCCCATGGACTCAACTTGAATAATTCTTTCTCGAAATCTTCAAAGGATTTCTCAAAATCACGCTGAAACCTTGAAAAGAGGGAATTTTTCTCAAAATCCAAAGGAACTAGTGCCATTGTTGCTTTTTTCCCCCTTAAAATTGAATTTTGCCTTAGTGCACGTTACCGACGCTATCTATTGATTTGAATTACCGGGCACTGTGTTATATTGCATGCGCAGAAAACGCTAGAAAATTTGAGAATATTCTAGGTTAAAAAGAAAACATGTTGACAGCATAATCTAAAAGATGGAGTGGTGTTTCTGGTGAACTGAAATAGTGGACTTGGTCCGAGATTCCGATACCGTGCATACGTAGCGGTTGATAGTTTTTGCCCAAATGTTTTAAGCTCACCTGAGCTGAAAGCTCGAATTTCTTTTCTGATCACCCATTTTCCGTCGTCTGTCTGTCTGCGAACTTTTCACATTTTCAACTTCTTCTCGAGAACCACCAGGCCAATTTTAATCAAACTTGATACAAACCATCCTTAGGTGATAGGGAGTTTAAAATGTTAAAATGATAGGACCAATACCCCTTACAAGGGAAGATAATCAAGAAAAGATAAAAATATAGTGTGGGTTCATTAAAAAAAAATTTCAAGAACCACTGGGCCATAAAAGCTGAAACTTATGTGGAAGCATCCTGAGGAAATGTAGATTAATTAAGATCCTAAAATTGTTAAATCATGACGCCAGGGGGTAGGGCGGGATCACAATAGGAAATCCAAGTTTTACATTGAAATTTATAGAAAAGATCTTAAGAAATCCTCTCAAAGGCCAGAAAACCTTGAGCTCGTGTTGAGGCATCATTGGGTTAGTGTAGATTCTGTATTGTTAAAATCATAACTCGGGGAAGGGCGAGGCTACAGTAGCTTTACGACATAACCAAAGTTCTTTAGGTGAACGATAAGGCCCCCCTGGCCTTTTGATTAATATGTCTATACAAATTGGATCATTTTTAATAAGCAGACACTTTTGTCACATGGTTTTGGCGATGTTTGGTAATATTCCCGTGTAAGTAAATGAAAGTTGTTTTTTTTTTTAATCTTTATTGAACAAAAACAAGTTGATTGTTTTTCTCAAAAACTAGTGGTAGATATGATAGAAATTGTTTATCCTGTAAGATTGTTTGAATTCCTTCACCCGACTATGTACCAAGTAGATTATCTCAATTGTAAAACATAGAAAAAACACTGAGTAGGCTCAGACTATCCTCACATTGTGTGAGTATTGAGTCTAGCAGATATATGCACTAAACGAAAATAACGATTAGACGAATGCCGTTTTACTTTTAATACGATTTTTTATACTGACTTAAGAGAAAGATATATTTTAAAATATTTAGCTTGCGTTGTAAGACCTTTAGTATGATAAAATTGATCGAAGCGTTAAAGGGGTTAGGTGGTTGTGGCCATTTTTAGACTCTTTTGGTCTCCTTCAGAAGAAGAGTTCCATATATATAGATATACAAAAATGATCAAATTTTAAAATTAAAATGTATGATTTTTTTCTTTGCCAAATGATAGTTGACAGCTTAAGTTATCATATCTAAAAACAAGTTACATATGTGGTTAATTTATTGACCCCTAGCCTAATTCTTAAATTTCGACTTGGAAAACACAGGCCTATTCGAATGTTTTCAAAAAAGGAAAATTTTACTCTCAAGCAAGATATATATGATATATATACTCCTGTATGGTTCTTTTTAGCCTTTTTTGGTTCTTCCTGAGCCGAAAGCTCAAGTGAGCTTTTTCTGATCACCTTTTGTCCCTAGTCCGTCCGTCTGTAAACTTTTCACATTTTTAACTTCTTCTCAAGAACCTCTGTGCCAATTTTGACCAAATTTGATACAAAGCATATTTGGGTAAAGGAAAGTTAAAATTGTGAAAATGAAGGGTCAAGACCTCCTCCAAGGGGAGATAATCAAGATAATACAAAAGTAGGGTACGTGGGGTCGTTAAAAAATCTTCTCAAGAACCACAGGACCAGAAAAGCTGAAATTATGTGGAAGCATCCTGGGAAAGCGTAAATTCTAAATTGTTAAAATCATAACCCCCGGAGGTAGGGCGGGCCACAATAGGGAATCCAAGTTTTACATTGATTGAAATAAAGCATTTAAAAATCTTTGGACCAGAATTGTAGCATAGATTCTAAATTGTCAAATTCATGATCCCCGGGGGTAGGGAGTGGCCACAACAGGGAATCCAAGTTTTACATCGAAATACTAGTACATGTATATATATAAGAAATTCTTTTCAAAAATCTTTTTCTCAAGAACCACTGCACGGGCCAGAAAATCTGAAACTTATGTGGAAGCATCCTGGGGTAGGGTAGATTCTAAATTGTAAAATCATGATCCCTGGAGGCAGGGTGGGGTCACAATAGGTCACAATAGGTATTACAAGAGGAAATCTGGTAAAGAATAGAGAGAGAGAGAATATTCTTTTCACAGTCGTTTCACGTATATATACTGACACGCAAAAGAAACGCAACACCATTCTTTAGGGGGAAATAATTATGTAAAGTAAACAATTTTGTATCTTAAAATTATGAATATCTTCAATTTGGTAAACATCGGTAATTTAACGGTTGAATGATTTCCAAACCATAACCGGAAGTCAAGTTTTAGTCTGCTTAACAGAAATCAAAAATTGCATGTTTAACAAAACATTCGGCAATTTTATGGAGTCTTAAGGGTTTTTTACTGTTCATCAGATGTAATGCAGCAATGTTTCAAAAAATAAACTCTCCTTTCGTTTCCCGTAACGATGCTAAGGCTACTTGAAAATGGCTTATGTACGCATTTCCATTGCTCTGGCTGGAAAATTTCAATGTAAATTTATTTTTTATATATATTTTACTTAGTAAAGTAAACAGATAAACATTTAACATTTTTATCAAATCTCTGATGTTCTGAAAAGTGAGTTTAGCCTTACTTTATTCGCTTTTGATAATCATCAGATAAAAAACAAACATTTGTAGATTACTACTTGTTGCATTTCTTTTGCGTGTCAGTATATACGAGGGCTGTTCAATAAGTAATGTCCTGCGTGCTCGGAAAGAAGCAAAGACGCTTTTCACTGATTTAGTCTTCATGATTTAACTTAGTTATTGATCTCTTTTGATTAAAACACATGTCCGTAATTTTTTTATCCAATTTTTGATTGTTTTTAGAACTCATTTTTGGGTATGTCCCTTAGTATACTGGAAAATGGCAGATCCAATGATTTCCTGGACTTGGTTCTTCCTTCTGAAAGGTGTTTTTTCAAGTTTGTAAGTAGAAACATGTCAAAAGGTCAAAGATCTGGCGAATATTGTTAATGTGAAAAAAACATTAACTTTCTGTTTATCCCGAAATCCCCTTTACTCTTCAGGGCGTTTTGGTTTGGACGCTGTTTTTATGAAGAAATTTAATGTAGTGGATTCCTGATTCTGGGTTCTTCCTCTAATAAACCTTTCGATTTTGGTGCAAAAAAATTGCTTTCTAACCTCCTCCAGAAATTAAACTGTCTCCCCGAATATGAAACAATACCACTATAATATTTAAGAAAATTGCATATAAATCTGTCTTTGTGTGTGTGCAATTCTTTGTTTTGTTTTGTTTTCGCTGTTTTTATCAAGTACATCTTATGGTAAATTTTGTTTGGAGGGTTTTTTTAAAGCAATAGATTCAAGCTCCATTATCTGTTAGAATATCAAACAAACGTGGATAACTACAATTACTGATATTTAAAATAATTGTTAAGACATTCGTACATGCTGTCGTTTTCACTCATTTTTCAAAATATAGGGTGACCTTTGAGTACTAAGCTTTTTTACCGTCAAACGTTTCTTAAAAACAGTGTAAGCTACTCCCGAAATGATGTCTATCAAGTTTGTTATGTGTCTTAAAGTCAATCATACAACATCTAATATTATTTGTTGAAATTTGGCAAACAGTACATAAATTGTTATAATTTTTTGTTGGCTAGGACGGTACCCATTGAAATCCACCTGCTCATTTGTCTTATAAAACAGGTATTGGTCGCTGTAAATGTCACATACAATTTGTATTTCAGTGAATATTTCTTTGGAATTTTTGGCATGTTTTACAGCAGCTTTAATGAAGCTATTATTTTCACTCTAGTTTACTTATACTTTACCATTCATAAATAATGCAGTGCCTCGAATGGCCTTGTTTTCCAGCTTCTGACAATGAAACTATGTGACAAAAAGTGGTCACATAAACTGTTATAAATTCATTAAAGATTAAATAATGAGAGAAAGTCAAGCTTAATGTCATATGATATCTGTATTGTATGTTATACAGTTCAGGACATTATTTATTGAACAGCCCTCGTATATATAAAGATTTTTATACACATGAAAAACTGTGAATAGAAATTGCATAATTATGATTGATATAATTATGAGATTTTCAAATAGACACATATACTAGTAAAGTTGTCAGAGATTAGAAATGAAAAAATATCAGGTTTTTTTTTTTTAATGAAAGGGGGGGGGGGTGTACGGACAATCCTGTTCACGAGCGCCTGTGGAGTTAGCTAGAGTGACGAAATGATGTGTGTACCCCTGTTTGTTTATGTTGATTGATAAACGACGATGTTTTTTTTTAAATACAATTAATCTTGAAATAAAGAAACTATTCAGTGCATAAAACTTTTTCAACTATTGCTACATGTAACTAAATTTCCAAATCAATTTTATGATTTAACATTTACTCTAGCTGTTGAATATTGCATGGTTTGTTTGTTTAACGTCTCTCTATCTAGAGCATTTTAAACTTGCATTAAGACACCACCATTTGCCTTGAGGGGGGGTAACGGCCTATGGGTATTTCACTGGGTTCCTTTTTGTAACAGCTATTACTGCGACACTGGAACTTGTTAATACAGCCAATCTCATTCGGGGGCGGTTATTGAAAATTTTTCTACATAAATGTTGAAGACGTTGCGCACGGTGTTGATACTATAATATCTAACTCTTTATGTCGCAAAGAAAATGGCGGTTTCGCGATGTCATATTTACTTTAAATTAAAAATAAAATCATTTATGGTATCTAAAGTAATGAATAATTCTTAAAATTTTCTTTTAAATAATTTAAAATTATTTTAACTATGATGAGGTGTTACTCAGTATTGGTCATTTACGGCGAAATTCCCGTGTCCGACGTTACATCAATAATTGTTCGCGCAACTAAAAGGTATGAAAAAATGCACTTACAATTCTCTGAATTAAATGAAAGAATCTGTCAAGTTTTGTATCACGTGTATAGTGTGATAAAGTGATTAAGGGACTCCGACCCTCAGCCAGGAAGGACAACTCGTTGAACTTCTCAGAAAGGTCTAATTAAAAGTAGAAATTTTTATCCCAATTTTAGATACCAATGTTTATGAACATGAATGAAATTAGAAGTGATTTATGGAGCTTTGCAAAGAACCTTGAAGCACATTGAGAGGCATTTAATGAAAATTGTTCCATGAAAAGATTTAATTTTCAAGCTTCATTTAAAGACTTTTTGAATTAAATTATAAATTAAAGAGTTGTCCTTCCTGAGGGTCGGAGTCCCTTAAGAAGTCAGGCGGACTAAAATGTAAATATGTAGGCTACTTGTGCACGTTGAATAGAAAACAAAAGTGTTATAAGTTACACATTTATAGAGATTGATTTTATCAATAATTAACATTTTACATGCGATTACAATTTCCATCCAGAGTTGTTGATGAGACAATGGTAGAGAGTGACTGGAAATCATGCAAGTCCTCTTCAAAGTGTTATGACGTTGCGCACGGTGTTGGTACACATTGACGTTACGTCAAAATAACGCAAAAAAGTCATAACGTTGTTATAACGTTTTTAACCTGCATATTTTAGACCTTTAAATGAATTTTATTTTTCAAAAATATAAAAAAATTAAATAAAAGGGCACATAGTGTGCAATGTTTGAACCTTCTTTTTTGAAATATTTATATGTTTATTAATAGATCTTAATGATAAAATTTTAATTACTGAAATGCCAAAGGCACTCGGTGAATATTCCTCTTTCTATTTTTCTCACGGGATCATAACACTTTGAAGAACACACTTTTGATTTTGAACTAGGGGTCAACAAATTAACCACCAGATTACTAATTTTTTTAGATATGATATCTCAAGTTGTCAACTAGGCCTATCGTTTGGCAAAATTTTTTTTATACATTTTGATTTTAAAATTTGATCATTTTTGTATATATGGAGCTCTTCTTCTGAAGGAGACATAAAGAGTCTAAAAGTGGCCACACCCACCCAGTCCCTTTAAAGGGATTATAGATCTATACACGGGAAAAGTAACACTGTCTTAGATCATAAGTACGTGAGTTTATCTATATGTTATGGCTCCTCGTCGTTCAAAATTATTTTGACGAAAATTGCACGCCATAAGTAAATAAAAGTGGGTATAACATGGCTGCTCTCTCAGTTGAAAAAAATATTTGGAAGTTTCTTGTATTTGGGGTCAATGGCAGAATTAATAGGCCTCCTCTCGAAATCATTAGGAATGAAGTAGATGGAAAAATTGACAGGTATATATAACTATAAATAGATATGTGCATTTTCATTAACAGAGAACACAATCAAACTCTTGCTTTATCGAGAAAATTTTAAAAATGTATAGGACGTCGATCCGTCTGTCTGTCTGAATTTTATAAACATGCTCTACATCAATTTGAAGTAATCGTAAAAAACAGGATGCATTTTTGGCAACTTATGGCGCTCAGGATTGATCAGAATTTTCTCAAATACTCAAAAGGTCAAAACTTTGATACCCAAAGCAAGGTCTTGTCACAATGAATTTGAAGTAAAAACCCTAGCACCAAGTTGCAACCAGCTGTTCAAAGTTATGGTGAAGGTAAAAGTGTGATATATTTTTTGTAAAAATATGTCAAACTCCAAGGTCAAGTGGTGGTGGTATCCAAAGAGAGGTCCTGTCACAAGGAATACAACTCAACTGTGAAATATTCAAAAGTAAGTGTTTGCAGACAAACACGCGAACGGGCAGGGCAAAAACTATATACCTCTGAATATTTAATTACAGGACATAAAAAACGACAAAAAAATTTATGATATTACTAAAGCATCGTCTCAAGCCATGGTCCGGAGTCCGCATATGGCTCTCTCCTACCCGTGGCTGTTTGATCACAAAAACTCTCGTACTTTTGAATATCTACGCCACTCTATTGTGACGTCATATTCAGTCATTGGCAAGTTTTGTTTCCATCGCAATTGAAATCAACAATTGACGTCAACAGTATAAAAGAAATATTTCCTATAATGCGATTGGACAGTGAAAGGTTGCGATAAAGTTCATCAACCAACTATGCTTTACTCGCAAAGGTCAATTTTTTAATGAACTACGAAGAATTCTCTCCTCGTTCAACCACAGCCAGAATGGGAGAGGTTCATACATTTTGGCACAGGCACCTGAAGTATGGAACGACAATCCCCCCCCCCTCCCCCTTTTTTTAAATGAAAAAAAATGTAAGAGTGTATAATACCTCGAAAATATAAAATTTCCCCGTCAAACACATCTATATGTCGTTATATGCAAGCAGATTGTACTTTTTCTCACGTTTAAAGAATGGCCCTATTCGGTATAATAAAAATACACAAGGTAAGAAACAAAAGTTGTAAACAAACGGGGGTTCCCCACTTCAAGACAGATTTCTATGGTAATAACGGTGTTACCTATCATAATTTTGCAAACACTCTGTCTGGGAGATGTTTTTCTACAAAACTATTTAACCTAAACCCCGCCATTGATGGTTAATATGCCGTAACCGGACGATTTATTAATCGGATACATAAAATTTTCTCCATTGGCAGCGTTGGAGGAGGTTTTGGAGCTGCTTTTCTGTTTCGCCTTATCTGATTGGTTAGATATTTAAACTATATTACAATTAACCAATCAGATAAGGCGAAACAGAAAAGCGGCTCCAAAACCTCCTCCAAAGCTGTCAATGTAGAAAATCTATGTATCCGATTAACAGAACGTTCGATTACGGCATATCAAACGCTTTTAGCGGGGTTTAGGTTTAAGAGACTAGTAAAAGAACATCTCCCAGACAGAGTGTTCGCAAAATTATGATAGGTAACACTGTTATTACCTTGGAAATCTGTCTCGAAGTGGGGAACCCCCGTTTGTTTACAACTTTTGTTTCTTACCTTGTGTATTTTTAATATATTCGATCAGTGCTTACTATCTGTTCTAGATATATTACTGTAGTCAGCGGCGACTCACACAAATTGTTCCGACGAAAATAGTTCCATCATTAATAAGTAGATACAACATAATTGTTCATGATAAGAATAATGTTGTGTATGTCATACGTAAAAGAAACTAAAATTAATGTAAATTTTTCCTCCAAAGATCACTTTCCCCCCTAAATGCAAATAAAAAATGTTAATATTCCTACGCTCGCTCCCTCCTCCCTCCTCAGCTATTTCTTTTTAACATGTTTGATAACAGAGAATATCTAGGTCATTCTTCGGTTGATATTTTTTCACCGATGAATTGATTATACTATATATCAACAACTGTAGTAAAATCATGTTAATTGTTCGTTAATCATCATATAGTTTCCTCTTACAGAAAAAAATCATTCTATGTGTGTAATATATTAATTGACGGAATTTTCGATCCCTGTCAGTGAGCAGATTCCTGCACGTGTGTAAACAAACTACACACAGGGAGAGTACCTATGAATTGTGTAACAAAACCCGAACTGGCCGGGGATTTCTAAACTGACAATTGTTTAATTTTTATTAATCAGAATTTGTATTCATGTTATCTAATTATGAAAAAAAGTTCTGTCTGTCATCGTAACTTCTCTGTTCGCGGGAGTCCGTTTGACAACTCCATCGCACGTGTGTAGACCAAGGCTAACTGGACTTGCGGACACGGGTATGTGTACTGTTTATTAGGAGACTGGGTGACAGTAATGCTACCGACTCACGAAATTTACACAAGTTCTATAACTAGACAGTACAGTTTTAATTTCATAAAAGTCATTAAACACTCTTAAACATATTAAATCTAAAAGTCGAATATCTTTGGATATGGGGTAACCCATATATCTATTCTTGTTATTATACCGAATAGGGCCATTCTTTAAACGTGAGAAAAAGTACAATCTGCTTGCATATAACGACATATAGATGTGTTTGACGGGGAAATTTTTTCGAGGTATACACTCTTACATTTTTTTTCATTTAAAAAAAAGGGGGGGGATTGTCGATCCATACTTCAGGTGCCTGTGGTCGCTATATCTATGGACTGACCGAATTAAAGTGCTACATTTGCTATATTATTTTTTTACATTAAGGTTTACAAAACAAAATGTGAAAATAATGGGAACAAGGCACAAGTTTTCTCTCTTTAACTCTTAAACACTAGAGATAAAAATTGATTAAGCTGTTATGTGTTAATGTGAGTGTTTCATTGATATTGATGGAGTAATTTAGAGGATTTACTTTAACTTTATTTGATTATGTTTTGTATCAATTTTTGACAAACATATCCAATATGTTTTAATATAAAGTAGATCCTATATTCAAGACTTCAAGGCATTGTTACGTATCATCAATTACGAAACATGAAAAAATATTAAATGAGTTAAAGTAAATAAGTAAAGATTTTTTTCAGAAACATCAAGTCATATTCTGTATTAGCTATAATTGTGAAATCAGTACTAATTTTGTTTTATAGAAAATTGTCTCCATTTTAAGAAACATCAAGTCGATATGCATTTCATATTCTACAAAATGTAATTCGTATTTATGCTGTTCTATACTCAATCATGTGATCAAGTTTGAGCCAATCATCATGATCATAGAGCTTGGAATAAATGGTAAAAATAATATTTGTTCATAGCTAGTATGATTGCGTATATATATAAATTAACATCATTTGTACAACATTAAGAAATGGTTGTACCACATTTTTAGCTCATCTGGACAAAGTATAGATGAGCAGCTCATGTAGACAAAGTATAGATGAGCTTATGATAGTCCTGTTAGCATTGTCTTCCCTGTTGAAGTTTTAGGAGCAGGTCCTACCTGGACCAAACCTGCATGGATGATGCACTATCTCTGTACTTTTATGACCTGCTATGATTCAATTTGCATGGATGATGAATGTTAGGATCACAGACACTTAAATACCAGACTTGGTCCAGATGTTTGAATGCAACATTTTTCTTGATAAGTGAATAGGTTATAAATTAAAGTTTTTGAAGCAAGTATGAATCCTAATCAACCAAACTTGCATGGATATTGATCTTGGGGTGCACACACTTGCTAGAAAAAATGATGTGATATTTCAATTCCTTACTAATAAACAACATATGCTGAGGTGAGCGTTGCATTGTTTCATGCGTGGATCTAGAGGAGGTCGCGGGATCCAGATTTAACACAATTTTCAATCTAAAATCTTATCTGTAATTATTTTTGTTTTCAGTTTTATCCGAAGTGGAAGTGGAATGATTGTCATCAAATTACTGAAAAAAATATCCGGCAAGCACTTCAAATTTTACCCGGTGGCATATGCTTTGGCAAAATGTGCAAGATGTGGTGACAGACAAGTTTCGAAAGAAGCTTATTTACTGATTCCTAAAGTTTGTAAAACACCATCTCAACTATTCCTTTTCCACTACTACTGCAAAGCTGCAAATCTCAGAGGAGACTGGCCTAGATCTCATAGGAGGGCTATAGCTGCCTGGTACACTGAAAATAAAGAAAACAGGGAAGATGTGGTTCAGTTTGCAAGACATGTTACAAAATACAAATGTCGGTATGGGATTAGCCAAAGAAGAGTGATTAAATCATGTCACCCTAAACCACCAAATGAGAAATTTGGTTTTATTTTCCGATACATTACAAAAGGATTGAAAAAGGCTAATGAGAAATACCCACCCCAGAATTCAGCAGGCAAGAAAGTGATGTCAGATAGAGGTGAAGATTTTTTAAGAGATTATGAGGCAATAAAATCAGGACGTGTCCCATTAAGTCAGGTGACTGATGCCATTAAAAAATGGAGACTAACTTGGGAGCATATCCCTCCAAAGTTTTTTGAAATGAAAAAAGATGAAGAAAATAAGAAAAGATGTAAAGAAATTTGGAGAACATTATTGCTTCAATCACAAATGCCAATGACAGCAATTGTGAGGAATCTTGTGAAAATGACTAGATTGGGTTTACTTGTACCAAACAGTAAAGAAGAAAATACTGTCTGCCAAAAATTGAATGACCCTATGATCTTGGAACAGTCAAATATACATCCATATCATGTCCTTACAGCACTGGCTGCTTACAGAAGAGGACAGAGGAGAAGAAACGGAGAAGATATAAAGTGGGCAGTGAGCGAACAGGTTGTTCAGGCTCTTTTCCAGTCTTTCTTGCATACGCAGGCTCTGCCTTTTACAGACAAAAGACTACTATTGGCCATTGACAGTACAATAGAAATGAATAATCGAGTTGGAAGTTCATGCCTTCCTATGAAAGAAGCAGCAGCTGCCTTAGCACTAGCAATACATCAGAATTCCAAATGTTCTGAAACAGTGACATTTGGAAACGTGACCTCTAAATTTGAGTTTCAGCCACATGATCAGAGTGTATTTGACATAGAAAATGCCCTTGAGAGAATTCACCAAAGGACCGAAAATTTTCAAAGATCTGATTTTAATGCTCCTTTCCGTTTTGCTAAGCAGAACATTGAGACATACGATGGAATAGTCTTGCTGACATCTTTAGTTGACACAGAGGAGGCAGCAACCATACGAAGATGTTTCCAAGAATACAAAGAACAAAGAAATGGCAGTGTAAAAGCTGTAGTTATAACACACTCTCACTCTAATCATGTTGGGACAGAGGAAGACGATGACATTTTGGATGTTGAGGGAGCCGATGGATGCGCTGCTAAACAGATCATAGAGTTTATCAGTGACGATAAAGAAGGTTTGGAAGAAGTTGATTTTGTCGAAATGAGAGATTAAGATTATGGCATCATTATGCTACAAATGTACTTGTTTTTGTTCATAATAACATATATCCTGTTTAGCTTTCATTCTCCATCAGAGAAGTGCAAGGGGAACCACAGAGTGGATGCCAGTATTGTTGCTAGTCAAATACGTATACAAACTGTATTCATGTACTGTACAACGTGTTACCAGTATTTTCTTGAGATGCCCGGCTCAATTAATTTGTGTTTAATTTGCTTAGTCTTACTACCCCGGTAAAACATGTATTTGCTGAAAATATTGTTTTAATTGATAGTTACTCTGACCTGTGATTATAGTGATTATACCATTAGTCTTTTGTGAATGCTTCAACAAAAAAAATAATAATAAAATTGTTTAAATTTTTTACCTCTAAACATTGTGTCAGTATGTTTTAAACAACTATATACGTGTTATGACAAAAATTAAATTATATGGAAATATGAATCTAGAACAGAGCCATGATTAGCCATATTTACATGGAAGCATCCTCAGCTATCGTAGATTTTGTTCACAATCATAACTATGTGGGGTTTGGATGAGATGCAATGGCCAATGAAAGTTTTACATACAAAAAATCATCTGTCTCGAGAACAGCAGAGCAATGGTTTGGTCAATGACCAATCCTTACCTTGCTATTCCTGAGAAAAAGACTTTACGGGGAGTCATGATTCAAACAAATCTCAATCTACAATACTTGAAGTTGCATACACATGCATATGAGCAGTCATGGCTTTGCTGCTCTAGACTAGTATACATTTTAGAAGATTTTCCCAATGTATTCATATCATGTAAAACTTTGATCACCTGTTGTGGCCCCATCTGAGGGATCCTGATTTGAATACTACCTTAGGATGATTCCATATTTAAGTTTCACAGTCTGGCTCTAGGATTCTTGAGAATATTTTCAAAAGATGACATTAATTTTTCACGAATTTATAATCCTTTTGAAAAAGTCTTGAAATCCCTTTAGTCATGGATAATTTGTGGCACGTTTTGTTGAAAATGGCCCAGTTATAAAGTACTGTAAGTCGTTTTAATTCCTTGTTGTTAAAATTTCATGATTTCTCAAAAATGAATGATAGCATTCACGGTGGGTTTAATTTCTCGGAAAAATTATGAATCGTGAACATTGAGAAATTAAAACCATCTTGATTATTTACCAATCTACAGTATTATGTTTGTCGTTTATATAGTGATAATGTTGCATCAAATATAGTGTCTTAGGCTAAAAAAAAATTAATCAACTGTTTCTCAGGCCAAAAAAATCAAAATTCAATGCGGCAGGCAGGCTTTTTTTTTTTTGAAGCAGGATTTAGTCTACACCTTTTTTTAAAGTCATTTGTTCAATAAAATGATAATATCTACTAATTCTTAAGTTTTGTTCTCTGAAATTAGTTATAATATGTATTCAACTTTAAATAATGTTATTCCAAACATTTATTTAAAAGTTTATTCATAAAATGCTGTAAAATTTATAAGAAATATATTGTTTTTCTAATAAAAATGTCTGTCTTAGCATTTATGAAAAGGGCAATAACTCGATTTTCTTTTTCAACTAATTGGGTTATTTCCCTTTTCAATAATCAATAAAATTTATCAATGCGGCCGTTTTTAACTGATGCGGCGGTGCCTGAGAAACTATTGATTAATTTTTTTGGGCCTTACCAGCCCCTAAGCAACATTTGTCAACTGCAGCAATAGAGATGTGAAATTTTCGAAAGTTTAACTTTTATTTACTTAAATTTTCACTAAAAAATACAGATGTACTTCATAAAATAGTGAATATATTTTATATTCGCAAATCTACAACATCCCCTATAATGCTTGCCATGTCATCATGATAACCTAGTATGAAGTCTTGGATGACTTCTAAAGCATAAGCATCTACACCAATCACATCCAACATGCTGGAGTCGTGTGAGAATGAGGTAGGTTTGCTGTGTTTAAAATGCACCGTGATGCACTTGGCAGTAGAATGACACAGTTTGTAATTAGAGAAACCTGACTGGATTTCTTGAACTTTTGGTAAATTAACTTTGTCTGTAATCAATATGATGACATCAAAAGGCTCTTCTCTTCCTTCTGCATAAACAAATGGTGCAGTGAACGACAGAGGTGCGTTTCCCTCCTCTCGTATTGAAGCAATTCTTTCTAATGCAATTTCGATATCTCCCATACTGTCGTTGTGTCTTGGAACATCAAATCTACGCACAAAGTGTCCAAAAGTTACAATTTCAGCAGACCTTTCATTTTCTGCTAGCATCATTGCCATAGCTACAGCTGCTTCCTTACAAGAAAGCCACTGCTTTCCCACTACATAATTGTCAAAGTTCATTTTGATATTGATGGCAATAAGCAGTCTTTTTTCTGTTGAGGGTCGGCATGATAATTTATTCATGTACGCTCTATAAAGAGCTTGTATGATTTTCTCGTTGATGGGCCATTCCTTTCCTCCAGATCCCTCTCCCCTTCTATAACCTGTTAACGCTGAGATGATATCTATAGGATGTAGTCTACTGCTGTTGACAAGTTCAATGTTGGTTAGCCTCTCACAAACCCTCCTTTCTTCATCACTCCCAGGTTGAAGAAGCTCCATGGATCCTGCTTTTCCAAGATTCCTAATTAAGGCCATTAATGGCATATCTCTCATCAAAAGTGTTTTCCAAACACGTGGATTTTTCAGAAATTTTGTCGGAATGTGTTCCCATGAGAGATCCCATTTGTTGATCATTTCAAAAACAAGTTCAACATTAACATCTGGCTTTTTCAACTCTTCCAAGTCTTTAAAAAATTTTGTGACCTGACCGTTTATCCTCCCATTTCTTATGGCATCTGCAAAGTTTTGGTTTGCATGGGAGAGTCCTTTTAGAACATAGCAAAATATATATTTCATGTTTTCATTTCTAGATTTTGGGTGACACGACTTTATAACTCTTTTGTGACTGAAGCCATGTCGATGCTGATATTTAGTGACATGCTTAGCTAGATTTAGAATATCCTGCTGATATCTTGGATTTGCTGTATACCAGAGTGCGATACCCCTGCGGAATTGCCTTGGCCAGCTTCTTATTCTCACTAGCTTTGATATTCCTTGCCTTCTTTTGTACTGCTGCTGTGTGGAGTACCTCCAGTATAATCCATTCTGTGAGCTGTCTATCTGTGCGCAATACGATAAAAACATAAAGAGCTCTGTTGGTGTGCTGCAAACAAATTTTAAAGCATCCAGTGCTTCTTGTCTTAATTGTGGCATGTTGCATTTTGCACATATGGCAAGAGAGTATGCAAATGGATAGAATTTGCAACATTTCTCTTTGTTTTCTTTAATCCAGTCAATAATTGCTTTTCCTCTTCCTCTTTGTATCAATCTGAAATTAACATATAAAACAAAATTATTAATTAAAAATAAAATGTATATTCAATTTTGGATCTCTAAACAAGAACACTGTTTTATCTAAGCTAAGGGTATTCATAATAATAAAATCTTTTGAAGAAGAACTGGGCCAGAAAAAAAAATTATGTGTATGATTCAGTATATAATAAATATAGGTTAAAAAGTTTAAATCATGACCCTTTCAGGTAATAATAGTCAGTTTTGGATGGTTTCCCTTCCCCCATTCTGAGAATTTTTACAAAAACACAATGATTTTCACAAACAGGAATGCCCCACTTCAACGGAGATTTTCAACATGTAATATTTACAACATAACTAATGGAATTCACGGGAAAAGCAGAATGTGGTGACGATGTCCTTCATGTTGCCTCTAATAAGAGCTGTCAAAAACTTTTATTTTTATTAAAATTAATGAGTATTAACAGGACTAAGACTAAGTCCATTTTCTTTCCACTGGCAGCCAAAGAGGTAGATAGAATGTTCTATATGTTTTGCTTATATTGGCAATGTAGCAAAAAAAAAAAAAAAAAAAAAAAAAAAGGAGATAACTCTTACCGAGTACATATATATTTCAAAAGTCAACATGATGTGTAAATTTGAAATAGTAAAAAAAAAAAAAAACTTTCTGAAAAAATGTCAAGTTCTTCCATTATATCCATATTTTTTCCTATGTAAGATATTCAAAACTTCAAAAAGGTTTATAAGATTAAATTGATGTCAGATGATTATATGTTTTCAATGCAAATTAAACTTCAATAATTTTCTCACAAATCATTTCAGAGCAATTCTGCAATTTTCTGCTACATTGTGGGTATATCATAGCTAGTGCACCCCATGTAATTCTGTAAATGACGAAAGATAAGTATATATATAGGTCTACCCCTCTATACTATAAAATCAACAGTTGATTTTATAGTATAGAGGGGTATCAGAGTAGACCTATATATACTTATCTTTCATCATTTACAGAATTACAAGGGAAATGCCTATGGGGTATATGTGGGAGATATTCTAACTATAATGGTGCAGCCTGTCCCAAGACACCATTAGATTATTCTAACTATCAAAGAGGAGGCAATTCTCTGAAACTTGACAAAAATGGAAAGTGATATCAAATGTAGGCATGACAGACTAGGAATTCATGGCTTCATGCACATGTACTTTGGATGAATAATAGTATCAAATAAGTTAAGGCAAGTAGGGATTTCATTTCAACCTATTTTGATCATTAATGTCACTGTCAAATGGGATTGATCACCGTTGGCCAGACAACTATTAATTGGTTGAGCATCTGACTGGAGTTTTAGTAGGTACAGGTTCAAACCTCTGTATTTTTTTCCTCTCCCATTACATTTGGTGCTGAGCCATGTCCTGGAAGTGACAGTTGAAGGAACTGCCAGGGAATAGCCTGGATTGGTGTCTTTGGCAGCCAAAGACCTTTAAAGAGGGGGGAAGGTGGCGGTCAAACCAGTTTGATTCCCATTGACTAGATAGCCCATTTAGTAGAGCACCTGAATGCATGGAGATTTAATGGGTCTGGATTCATATCATGGGGCTCACTCGATTGGGACCCTTCTAGAAGCAGGGGGGAATGTTAGAAGGGTTGGAATATGTATGTCTAAATCGAATGTTCAGAAGGATATTGAATAGGATGGAATATTATCTGCAATGTTTTGAATTACTGCAGTTGTTGAATTTCAAGAATTTAAATCCTTTTTTAGGCATTAAATGTTAGTTTGAAAGGGAAACTTGAGATAATTAAGAGTGGAAAAATTAATTTAATATAATAGTATTGGGAATTTTTTCTTTATTTATGTAAAGAAAGATTTAAAACATCAAGTGTCTGAGACAAAAGAATATTAAAGAGCATGTAAAAAAAAAAATAAAATAATTATGATCAAATCAGGGACCTATTTACGGCTCAAATCTGCACCTCATATTACATGGTAAATTATGAAACTGTGTTCAATGGTTGATTTTACTGCAATTACACAACAGAAAAAATGCTTTTTAACAACAGAATTACCCTTCATACATGATAAGAATATTTTTTTGCAACTGTATTTTGTTTTAAGTTTGGTTTATTTACAATAATAAAAATCCCCCAAGTTTTCACCAAACCGCTTGACGCCATATTAGAATGCTATCCTTCAGCTATCCTTCCATCTCTGACGTGGAAGGCTGAGAAGGCCTTCTAAGTCTACCCTACCAAACCAATCGAGCAGACAGAATGGTTATTCTGGAATAAGAAGGGTCCCAATCGAGTGGGCCCATGGGCCCATCTCAAAATTTGATAAATCGAACTGACTTTATTTTCTCTTAGTATGTGTATATAAAATTCAATTCATAATAAAACCTTAGTTATCGAAGGTATTTTTTGTAATATTTGCTCCCCTAACATATTTGGTAGTAATACTTGAAGGAAAACATGTATATTGCGAATTCGTTATATATGATTATACAAATTCTTTATACGGATATAACGAATTATGGATATAGCGAACTAAATTCACAGGTCCCCAGGACTTCGCTATAACCGAGTTTTACTGTATTTCTTTACATTTATAAATAAAAAGTTCCCAAAATTGTAATATTTAATAATTTTTTTCATTTTCTCTTCAAGTTTCCCTTTCTAACTATAACATTTAATGCTTTAAATTCAAGGAATTTCAAATTCTTGAAAAACAACTACTGCAGTAATTCAAAACATTGCAGATTATATTCCATCTTATTCAATATCCTTCTGAACACTCGTTTTAGACATACATATTCCAACCCTTCTGACATTCCACTCTGCTTCTAGAAGGGTCCCAATCAAGTGGGCCCACTGAATTTCCCTCCACTCCCATTTCTGTAACAAGTGGCCCCTATCTCCCTGTCACTTAATTAAAACATTCTAGTACTTTCATAATGATTTCCTATAGAAATGAATCATTAAAAGAACTACGCATGCTAACTCTAGATTCCCGCCTACATTTTATAACCATTTAATTGAATATTGATGACAATTTGGCCATAAAACCATTGTTTAACACAAAGAACAGTTCAATGATAATTTATATAAATTATTTTAATACCAGTGCTAAATAGTAAAATATCCCAAATTCCAGCTCTTGAAATGGGGGGGGGGGGGGGGGGGGGGGGGGGGGGGTAGACAATATTTTCCACTGAAATCGGGCTATGAATCATCACCATATTTTTAAATAGTATTTGATATGAATAAAAATCTTTTTTAATGTATTATGCATATAACATTAAGCATATATACTAGTAAAATACAATGTGTCAGTTGTAAAGCTCTTCGAAATAGCTGGAAAAATAAGCATATTTTTGTCAATGTTTGTCTGTAAACACATATGTCCCCCCCCCCCCACCCCCCTTCCCGTGAAACGCAAAAAGCTCTTGTATGAATTTGTGAAATGACAGTCGATATTACCCGTAAAAAGGAATTTGTGATTCACGGGGGGGAAAAGATGTATTAAAAATATTTCCCGTTTCCCATTGATTGCTACATGTATAGTGAAAAACAAGAATAATACCCAAAATTTTGAGTTATCTCTCGTTGTTTTCCTAAATAAGTCGTGTTTTATGAAAATTCATTTAAATATCAATATAAATGCTAAAAATCATTCGAATAATTATCTTAACTTTTGAAAATTGACTTGGAGGTAGGCGGGAGAACAAGACTATCGTTCGCACTTCTTTGTATTTGCGATCTGACAAACCGAAAGTAGAACTGTTGAGCGCTTTAGTTTCTACAAACTAACAACGATGAATTAAGCATATTGTCTTTGGTGACTTCATTTTTACCTATCAATGATATTAGACTCCGGAATCTCCTGTAATCTTGGTCTATACACATTTTCCTCGACCCCCAAGAACAAAAATCTCCATAACAAACTTTCCTCATCTGCCATGCCTCTTCTGAACAGCTGAATGATAGATTGCCGTGCCCGACTAAAAAAATATCGATCAAAATATCAGACGCAGAAATTTTTGGTAAGAAAACTGTTAAATGCTACATGTAGTATGTATATAATATATATCAATACATGCTATAAAAGTTTGTAGAAAAAAACCCTGAAATTATGAAAGCCTATAGAAGGATCCAAACGACCAAAGAGAAAAATATATTTAAATTTGATTGAACCTTCTCAAACTTTCTTGATAAATATTTGTCCAAATTCCAGAGAATGCCCTGGGGTCCATATTTCCGGCAGGTGTTATTGTATTCAGTTCTACCTGAGTGAAAAAAAAATACAGTTAGTCTCCTCAGAAAAGATAACGGATTTGTTTGTTTGTTTGACTTGCCTTGTTTGTCCATTACAACAAATAACAGACTTGCATAATATATATCCAACCACCGAAATAAGATTTTCTAGTTTGGGTAATTTCACGCTTATCACGTTTTTCTTTTCGGGTAAGTTGAAAGCCCTATATGTTTTCTCATTCAAAAATTATCACCATTTAATTAAAATTGAAATTGAATATAAAAATTTCTGAAAATTGGATCAAACTTCAAGATCAACATCACAGTGTCAAATATTATAATAGTTTATTATATATATAGCTAATAAAAAGTCTATAACAAAATACTACCAAAAATCTAGAGAATTTTAGCGTTCAATATCTTGACGTTTTATTTAAGGAATGAAGCTAATTTCAACTTATGTTATACGATATATATGGCACGCCAAATTCACAAAAATGAGATAAACCTAGTTTCACATTTGATAAACTAGGTTTATCGGCTGTAAACTATAGTTTACAAACCGTAAACTATAGTTAACGATTCGTTAAGTATAGTTTTCATCTGTAAAACTATATTTAACGGTTGTTAACTATTATAGTTTACGAATGATAATCTTAGTTAATCTGTCTGTAATAAGCGTTAACAATAGAGTTTGTTGATAAACATAGATTCACGTTTGTAAAGTATAGTTTACAATCGTAAACTATTGTTAAGAGTTGTTAATCATAGTTTCACAAATCGTGAAACTATATTTATCAGATCGTTAACTATAGTTAACGGTTTGTAAACTATAGTTTACAAATCGTGAAACTGTATTTATCAGATAATCTATGTTTTGCAATCGCAAATGATAGTTTTCGGTGTTAAGTATAGTTTACGGTTGTGAAACATAGATTATCGTGTTAACTATGGTTTACAGATGTGAAATATAGATTAACGTTGTTAACTATAGTTTACAGTCCGTAAACTCTAGTTTACAACCGATAAACCTAGTTTATCGATTGTGAAACTATGATTATCTCATTTTTGTGAATTTGGCGTGCCATATGAAACATAGATTATCGCGTTAACTATGGTTTAAGGATGTAAAATATATATAGATTAACGTTGTTAACTATAGTTTGCAGTCCGTAAACTCTAGTTTACAACCGATAAACCTAGTTTATCGACTGTGAAACTATGTTTAGCTCATTTTTGTGAATTTGGCGTGCCATAGATATAACATAACTTGGGACAGTTTACGCTTGATAAACCGTGAAGCGGTTTATAAAAAAGCGTAAACTGACCCAAGTTATGTTATATCGTATAACATAAGTTGAAATTAGCTTCATTCCTTATAATTTAATTTCTATGGAATGCCATATACGACAGCCAACTACTTACTGCCAGCTGCTAACTCCTTACTGCCAACTGTCAGCTGCTTACAGCCAACTGCCACACATATTTGAATAAATTTTATTTTTATATTGATATTTATCTAAAAAAAAAAGGCGCGGATCAAACATTTTTTCCAAGAGCATTAAAAAAAAATTTTACAGTAACGTAAAGTCCTTTCCTAAATGTGAAAATTTATTTCGGCCGGGAAGAGGGGGTTCTATGCGTCATACCTTCATGTGTATGACATTTTTCATACCAACTTAACACGAATCCACATTTTCGGTTGGTGAAGGTGGGGGGGGGGGGGGGGGTTGGTTCTAAGGTCCCTTTTAGTTGATTTATTTTATACATTAAATAACTTTTAGTTGGTTTAGTTTGTGCATTTAATAACTTTATAAATTTCAGAGGGGTGTTCCGGACCCCTCTCTCTAGATCTATGGATGTAAAACATATTTTATTTGTACAAACAAAGAGATATATTTTGATCGGCGTTTTCTAAGTGGAGGGTCCAAGGTCAATATAGTTCGTTTAGTTTATTTAACGTATGACTGTACAAATTTTAAATGCCCCCCCCCAATCTATGCACGTGAAACATTTATTATAACACACAGAGATATGCATCTTTAATTTGAGGAAATTTTGAACTATAGAATAGAATGGAAAACGGAAATTTATTTTCAAAACATCTTTCTCTGCGAAACGACAAATCTTTTCTTAATTATTCTCTCTTCAAAGGTTTTGTTGTCTTTCTTTAAAGATTAAAAGCAGAAAATGGTCATTTTATTACCTTTTCAAATAGGAAAACAAATAAAAAATAGACAATGTACTTTATCAACTGCATATATTGAATATTACATAAGATAACACATATTGGTCATTTTATTCAATTCAATTTTACCAGGATGACCCCCTTGAAAAAAATGGTGCAAAATTCATATAAATATCATACAAATATAAAATTTATTCAAATATGTGTGGCAGTTGGCAGTAAGCAGCTGACAGTTGGCAGTAAGCAGTCAGCAGTTGGCAGTAAGCGGTTGGCTGTCGTATATGGCATTCCATAAATTTCAGTATAGACAATAAGACAATTTTTCCTCCAGAATAAGGCTTCAAATTGAGCATTATTTTAAAAGTAACGTCAAGCGGAGTAATACGTTTTTGACGTAACCTGACGTAGGCAAGTTATGTTATACAGAATATTATATGTTCCTCTGAATGATTCAGCCAATGAAATTGCTTGCTACAGTTGAAATTAAATTATTGAACGCTAACTTTGGGGACCAGGCAAAATTTATCATAATGATGGGACCAGTACAAAACAAAATTCTCATTTTAAAAAAGTAATGTGTCCCATGGCATTTTATTTGAAAAAAAAATTCCGTCCCATATGCCTTAAGGTAAGTCACTCGTCAGCTTTTTGGAAAAGTTCCCGCAGAACCCCTTACTTCAAAACTATTTATCAAAATTCAATTTTTATAACATATTTAATTTCAGCTATGTTAATGCTTTAACACTCAATCAAAAAACTGCTCAAAAATAAAGATGCAAGATTTGTGAGGGACTATTTTTTGTGGTGGAAGGATATTTAGGAGATAATTCTGCAAATCTGCACATTTATTAAATTTAATATCTTGGACTTTTAGCCTCACCTACTTTTACTCGGAGAATATTTTCCATTATATTGCTAGGAATATTTAATTTAGGTCTTAATTTATATTTTTAGAACAAGTTTTACACCTTCCTTTAACAAACTTTGCCAAAAAATGAATATACGTCAAATAAGTCACTATAAAATTAACACCATTTTTTGCCTGAAAATCACATATTTTGACCAATATTTCAAAATTTACATAACTGACCCCAACTTTTTCTTTCATTATTTTAAAGTACTCGATACTTGTGACTGATCAGCACTTAAGTCGTAAAAAGCTTGATTTCAGAAAATGTTTTATTGCCTATTTAGTTTTTAATACCCCAAAATATGTTAGTTTTTAGTGCAAAAAGGTCACACAATAATTTACGCGCATTAATTTGCAAGATCTTTTCAATGATAAATATCATTCAAAATATTTTACGTAAGATAAGATAATGTTTTTTGCCATGGTTACATTTGATAAAATATAATAAAGGTTTAAGTAAATAACCAAAGAGTTAAAATTTAAGTGCAAAAAGGTCAACTTCATTGTACCGTAGATCAGTAAGATGAACACTGACCCCCTATTTTCTCGGCGATTTTCAGTCACTCTGTATGAGTACTTATCCAAAATATACTTCTCAATAAATCCTTGATTTATCAAATTTCACGAGTGACATGCCTTAAGACTATTAAATGTAATACGTATATATGAGTATGCCCGAAACATTCCGAACACGAGCGTTCAATATCGAACGCCCCGTTGTAAACAAAAAAAGTCGTCTGGTCAAATTCTCAGAACTAAATTAAAGAAAGGAAGTGGCATCTAGGTAAGATGTGTTTATTTTTCACACAAAATGAAATTTATTAAGATAAAGTACGTATTAGACCCATTAAAACCTGAATAAGCAAATCATTTCGCTCAGTAGGGTCATCGGAATGATGCGATATTGAACGCTAACAGGACAGACGTTAATTTGAATACCGAAACTAAAAAAAAACATTAATTTTAGAGGTTTTTTGTTGGAATAATTATTATAAATTATGTGGAAATGTTTAGGCTATATAATAAAGGAGTTATTGAACTTTATTTTGGTGAATATTGGCACTTGTTGGCTGTTCAAATGCACTCGTGCCATTATTCACCAATATAAGTTCATTAACATAATTAACCCTATAGTATTTGAAACAGTATTTTCACAGGCAATAATACATTTGACATTATATGAAATTCTTCAATCCTTTGAATAGTATTGGTGGCGCAGTGGTAAGAGCGTCTGCTGTATGTGCTGACACAAAAAATCCCTAACGGCTCAACCCTGCGAAAAAATGGCCCATTGTTCTGGAACTGTTCTGGAATTTCATGAATGGTTCTGGAACCATACCCATAATATTTTCTAGAAAGAACTATATGCGGTATATTGCATATATTTGCCCCCACAAAAGTCAAATTTTGAAAACTTCCTGAAATGTGCTGAATTCAATAACTTTTATTAGAAATATAAATTAACACAAAATATTATAGTGTCAAAGCAGTTTATTCACAATTTTTGTTTTTATGACGTCACATACTAGTCCGATTTTATATCCTTTTTCAGAAAGAGGACAAAATGGACAAAATTTCAACAATTTTAGCTTTTAAATTTATAGAGTGTAAGTTTGTTCAGGAACAATATTGATATATTTCATTGATATTATCATTCTACACATTATATCAAAATATTGATCCTGAACACACATGCGCTCGGTGACTTTTACTCACAATATCGACGAAATATGTACATTTTTCTGTAAAATTCATAAAAAACTGAAATTTACGTCATGTTTGTGACGTCATTACGTACATATGGCGTCATTACTTATGAAAATATTCAGTGTTTTGAAGTCAGCATATACTCCCCTGTTTAAGAACTTAATTAAATATATCTCCATCAAAGTTTGATTTGGGGGGCAAATATTGATTATTACCGCATAAAGTTCTTTGTTCTTGAACTGTAACAGAACCTTCATAAGGAAGACTTGTTGAACAGATTAAGGATTTGCCAAATCCTTGTTCTGTTTTGGAATATGGTAATAGTATTAGCCAAAAATGAAATAGAACAGGTCATGATACAGTTTGGAATGGACAATTGGGACAAATCTGTAAGTGATATGTTACAGATCTGTAACAACATTTTTAAGGAACAAATCTAGAACTATTTTAGTTCGGATAATCCTGTCTAACAAAAAGATCACTTATTCTAATTTGCATGTCAATCAATCATGATCAATAATATATTCTCATATTGCATTAAACAACATACCCCCGGTATTAAATATACACATGTAGCCTGATGTAGGTTTATCATCAACATAAGAGAGTTGACTCTCTTATCGTTGACTCTCTTATCGTGTACGCTACGATAGCGGAGTCTCCTAATTTTCATGCAGAAGCGAAGAAATGCTGTTCCAACTTAAAAGAAAAAAAAGATTTTAAGAGAAATGAGCGGTGATTAATTAACGGCATCTTTTGAATATACGCTTATTGAAACTTACGTTGTTTGCAAAAGCTAAAAAAATGCAATTGAAGTAACAACTACTCAGTATACGCAGTGATTTGAAACTATAGCCTCAATATTCATGTGTTCTTGCACAACGTACATATATACACACTTACAGTACTCACAAAAAAACAAAGTATTTGATCTTTCCAATGTCATTATTGCCGTATAAAACTACGGTACAAATGCGTTTCGGCATCCGACTATATTCTTCAGAATAAAACCTCTTTTGATTTACAACTATTCTATTAACTTAAAAAAAACACACTTTTCTGGTATGATGTCTAAAAGTGCTGCTTTCACTGAATATTAATTTTCCAATTAATGTTAATGAAGAGGTCATGTTAATGAAGAGGCTGCAAATATCCACCAAATCAGAAAAAAATGTATGCACTCAGTTACAGAACTGCTCCAGAACAAACATATGATCCAGAACAGTACATGAACGTTACATATTATGGAAAATCCCTTGTGTCATTTAACGTATCAGAACAGTCCCAGACCTAAACGAGTCCCTGTTCCAACTGTTCCAAAGAATCCCAGATATTGAATGTTCTAGAACCGCTGGTGTTCATGAACCTGCGTGTTCTGGTATAATTCAAGCAAATGTCTCATTTAACATATTTTAACGTTCTAGTAATGCACAGAATGAGTAATAGAACTCATCGGGAACATTTCAGGGTGTTCTATTCCAAAAGTACTAGAAATATTCTGTTACAGTTCTAGGAAAGTTCAAGGATTATCGCAGGGGCAACGCCCTGAGTGCCGAGTATAGGACAAAATTTGCAGCTCTCCCACTGCAAATGGTGGTGTCTTCATGATTGAAAAATTCTCGACATTAAATAGATCAGCATACAAACAAACAAAAAATCTTTTCAAAAGTTATGTATACGTGTAGTTTTGTTAGTTAGATTTTTTAGACAGACAGATAAAAATGAGAATGTCAGTGTCCCCTTGCATTTGCGAAAGTTAGAAACCTCGATCGTCAATGGCCTACAGGAGCGGTGTGCCCTGTTTCCTAAGACTATACACACTAAAAGGGCTAGGTTTATTTAAAGAGTCCCAAAGTAACTTACCATGCATTTCTTTAAATATGCATTGGTTTAAAAATAAGTTTAAAACAAAACATAGCCTGCTTTCAGGTTTCTATAGATGGGCAAAGTCATTGCTGGTCATTATTGATCTTTGCTTCAAGAACAGGAGTTGTGCAATACCTATTCAAGTATGGTATCAAAAACAGTGCTACGAATTGTGATTACTGTGTACGAATGTACTACAGTGTAACCGTTCTATAGAATTTAAAATAAATTTATACCAAGCATTCTTTGTACTGAATCTACTGATACATGTACTGTGACACAGTTTAAAGCTGAAATCAGAGTGAATTTCTCAAAACGAAACTGTATTTGTCTTCAGCTTGTACAATAGCTATAGTTTAAGAAAACCAATACTTATACAACTGGAAAAACGTGTAAAATACATTTAGAACGTCTTCACACTCTTCTAAATATTGAAAAAAAGGAAAACACAACAATATCATATGAGGGAGTGTTAATTATGGGACTGTTTTATGATACAAACCTTATGTTAACAATGCCACAGTGCATACTAGCGCTACAGTTCTGCAGCTAAGTGGATACGTGCCATGGAAAATGTCATATGTAGGTTATTCAATACCTTTCCTAATCAGCTGTTCATGACAAGTTCATAACAAGGGCGGTGTGCCCAGCTGAAAAGAAAAGTCAACAATGAAGTTTTATAGCTTTTATTCAACAGTCAACAATGAAGTTTTATAGCTTTTATTCAACGAATAATAACTAGTGGAGTTGATCAGAATTATCGATTTTGAACATGCCGAACCCCCATTTTCCTGAGAAGTCTTGCTAGTAGACCCCACTTTTTGTTACCCAGTTTCATAAGTAGCAATTTTATTTGAAAAGGGGGGTTACTCTTCCATTGAGTTCGATGGAAAAAAAATTCCTTGACGACCAAAAAAAAAAAAAAAAAATCGTCCGTGGCTATTTTTTGAGGGGGCACAAACATTAAATACCTATGTTTTCTAGCTATAGTACAGGTATGCTACATGTGTAAAGATTTGTCTATCTTCGGTCCCGACGATTTTTAAAAAAAAATTTGCTTCCCTCTCAAAACGAATTTAGGTAGGCCCCCTATAAATTTGTTTGTTTTATACAGCATAATTTATTAGGCAACCCTCCCTCTCTCCTGTTTTTAAAGAAACCTGAAGAGAAAACTCTTGGAAAGCTTAGAGCATTGTCGTTTACTAACTTTTATATAAAGAACGATATATGATTCATTTTGAGATTACTTGCTGTATACAGCTGGTAAATCTATAGCCTATTGATTTTTTTTACACCGCTAAGCTTCCATACATCACTTCTCGGGATTTTTCGCTGATATAAATAAAGCGGCCCGATCAGTCATTGTTATGTTTACAACTCCGAAGCACACCTGACATTTCAGGATGGGTCAGATGGCTAACTTAACACAAACGGTCAGTGTCTAGACGAACTGACAGATGGAGGCACGACCTGAAATACCGACATTGCAACAACGGAAAGATGGGGGCATATTCCTCGAACTGTTACAAACCTTGCAAAATTTTTTTGCTGCAATTTTTGTCGGCATGTGGCGATTTTTCGTCCCGCCACCAAGAAAGTCGGTGTTTGGAGAAATTGTTTTAATTACGGGTTCAGGATCTGGAATCGGTCGTCAGCTAGCCAGGGAGTTTGCCAGACTGGGGGCTGTATTAGTTCTCTGGGATATAAACGAAACGTCAAACTCGAAAACAGCGTCCATTCTGGAGGAAGAATTCCACGCCAAATGCTTCTCCTACACCGTTGACGTCGGGTGAGTACCATGTTGAAAACAGGGAGAGAGAGAGAGAGGAGGTTAAGAGAAATTGCAAATCGAAATCATATTATAAGTGAGCAATGGTAAATAAGGAGGTGAAAAATGAAATGGGTTTAAAATCTGCATTTTTTTGCAACAGAATTAATAATTTTAAATAAAAAACCCCAATCATCCTATATGAAAAAAAACACACAAAATTATAAAAATATCATCATTTGAGAATTTTCCTTTCATTGGAACAAAGATAAACTACAAGTTTATTAACAAAATCAAAATGTTTGGTACACACATCTTAAAAAAGCCATGTGATGCTGATATCAAAATGTATTTGTTAATTTTTAGTGTAATTGTGTTTAATTATGACCTCAAAACTGATTCGTCTAGGAGGCTAAACATTAAAAATCTTGAAATGACCTTGTATCGCTGTGCATATTCCATAAATTCGAAAAAAAAAAATTGAGGAAGGGTGAGGCTCGTCCTCAAATTTTTGACAATTTCTTTAATTAAGGGCACAGCATTTGAATTATATAAAATCTATGTAAAATCTACAACGGTTACAAAAGACTTCTGAGAAAAATTGCCACACAAGCATTCACCCTCTAGTCTAGATTAGAACTCCATGGGCCTACATTGTTAGTGATAATGAAGATGACTGAAGTAAATTTTAATTTGTACATTGTATTTTATTTCTGTTCAAATTTAAGTGTTGGAACCTCCCATCCGAACATCTCATTAATTGAGTCTTTAACAATTAACTAAGCTTTTACGTTTTTTATCAAGTAATCTTGAAAATCTGTGAGACCAGCCATATTTTTAGTATATGTATAGTTCCGTTATAATTGTTTTTTTCTCTCTCCATTAGCAAATCTTGATGCTTCCTTTAGTGATGCACCAGACTGTCACTGTCAATAAATCTTTATTAAAAAGGATGCTCCTTTATTTATTTAAGAAATAAAGTCTGCGTTTTCATGAATATTGCAGGATAACCTCCGAGGTCGAGAAATGTTGTTTGAAAGATAAAAGCCGAGGCGTTAACCGTTAACAAGGACTTTATTTCTATTCTACCATGTCTACTAAAATTGCTTAAATACGGCTGATCGTTTCCTCTATAGAGAAACAAATTAGGTCACCATGTCTCGATTACGCTGTTCCATTTAACACCAGAGGTTAAATTTGTTTGCTTACCTGTGTATGAAATGCAGACGATTTGAGCTTTCGTTGCATTAGAAATAGCTTTTTTAACCCTTTGTGTGCGGGAACCCAATATATTGGGTCTGACGTCATAAACGCTACCGTGCGGGAACCCAATATATTGGGTCTGAGTTTGGAATTAGCACTTCGTAACATAAAACTTTGTATAAAACGTATAAATGAGTTGTGAATTACTAAAAATCTATCAATATGTATTATAAAACTACAATATATTGAAAAATATGTAATTAAGATGTGAAAATATGCGAATTATTTGTGAAATTGTGATTTGAAGTGAAGGTGTTGGCGTTTGTTACGATGCAAGTCAGTCCGCTATTTTTGGAAACAGGGAAAAAACGCGCATGTAATAAATATCTACTAAATTGCTCTAATGTAAAGGAAAATAAAGAAATAAACCTCAAAAATAGTTAAATATCAATAATTCTAATAAATTTGTGCTAGTAGACATAAAATTACTGAGAAATTGTCGATATTTTAGCAGAAAAAACTCTGGTTAACTTGACTTGACCTTAACCTTGCAAAGTTCTTCCTATTAAAACGAAAGTAGGGTGCACATGCTACTGAACTTCAGTCTGAAGCATATCGAGAGCTTATATGGTCGGCAAAGTTTTCTATTTTGGACATAATGTGGTTATTATTTGTTTATTTGGCGTTTTGTAAGTAGACATGGACATTACATCGTCTAAATGAAAACAATAATGCACGAGATTGAACCTGGCACGTTTTTATTTTCCTCAGTCAGTCAGTGGCTGTGCATGTTGTTTACATACGTAATTCAAGCTTTGCTTTGAAATAAAGGTTGGAAAATTGAAGCATCTTGTCAATTAAGAGTATTTGTTTTTTTAACAATAAATAAACAAATAAATAAGTAAACAATTATTTTTTTTAATCTAAAGACCCATTTAAAAAATGTTGAAAAATAAAAAAAAAAAGTCACCTAATTAAAAAAAATAAACGTGGAGGACCTTGAACACTGTAGGAAATTTTCCAATGAGTTATTGCATTAATAAGTAAGTGCAAAAGAGATATATAGAGAAATATATATCCATCAACATATATTTGTGATCAAGCAAAATTAATTCATGATGCATGCAGGTATTCGAAATGTACTCAATATGAATTTTAAAAAACTGACAATTATGGAGTCAATTAAGTGGCCCTAATTACATCTTAAATTTCTGGTTTAAAGCTGCTTGATGTTCCAACTATTTGGGAAAACTTTCAAATATTTTTTATAACAGTATAATAATATATTGTAAAATTTTTAGCACAATTAAAAATTAAAAACTTTCAAATATTATAACAGTATAACAATATAGTGTAAAATTTTTAGCACAATTAAAACTTAAAAATAAACTTGATATTTTCTAGTGTATTCAAATGTAAGCTAGTTCTCCACACTAAAACTGAAGTTTACTTTAAAAAAATCCAAACAGAATTGAGAAGAAATGAAAAACATTAACATATCAGAAAAGATGCATTGATGCATTCACGCATGTGCATATACATGAAAATGGTAAAAAGTAATGAACAAATTTTGAAGTGCTGATTTTCCCTGAAATGACTGTCATTTGTTTAAACTGTGGTATTTGTTTTATTTCAGTAAGTATTAAAAATACCATTTTATAACCTTGATGAGGATTATAATATAGACTCAAAAATTTCAAAACCAAAATATGTTCCGGGATCTTTGGTGTCTTAGAGTTAGATTTCTTCAAGGCATTTACATACTCTAGTTTGCATAGAACCTAATTACTAGGTGAAAATAATTGGTAATTGTATCAGAATTTTTTTTTCTTAACCAAGTAGAAGTATAAGTTTAAGTATCAGGGAGACATTTTCTTTTTCTTTAAAATAGACTTTTGCCAGAATAAAGCATGTGGATTAAATTGCACATTTCCCCCACTTTTTATTTCTATTTTATTAAAACCAAAAACAGTGAGTCTGCCCCAACCTATACATGCACACATAAAATTATAAAATTCACTGGTTAAATAAATGGTAACTATACAGTTTAAAATTAAGATGAATTGTCATTTTTGTAGGCATAAGAAGGAGATCAGTCTTTAAAATGAGTAATTTGTGAATTGTATGGACTTGCATGTACATCTGTTCATTAAATTACAATAAAAACTGGGTGATAGGAATTGTACTTCTCAAACTCAAAAGTACACACTGTGCATGTTTTTACCTAATAAATTAATTTGTAATATGTCCTCTAGTTTACAAGTTTATAAGGCCCAAGAAGCTTCTACATTTCATCCCTTCTAAATATGTAAGATAGGTACATTTGATATAAGAGATAATCATATATGCCTGAATTAATACAGTAAAAAAGCTAAGATACTGTGAGAATTTTTTTTAATGATGGTCCAGAAAATTTTTCAAAAAATGCAAATTCCTATACAGTTATTAATCAGTTATTAATCAACAAAGATTACATTTTGGTCTCCAAAGATATGATTCTTTTTAAATATAAAAATGTGAATAGTTACTTAGAATACAAGGAAACCCCATGGTAGAAATAAAATATATTTTATCATTAGGAATAATTTTTGTGTTGAAGTAAAATTCAGGCACATTTAAAACTTGTAACAGGTAAGGAGAAAATTTGTGGTTGGACCAGGAATTGAACCCAGGAACCCAGCTTCAATAGTCAGGTGCTCTAGCGAATGAGCTACCCAGGTTGATACCCATAGCATAACCATTACATATCCTTCCTTAAAATTATCTTCATCCTTGCAGACACAAACCAAATAATAGTTTATATTAATTAGCCCCTGAAAGTACTTTCACTTGCAAATCCAGAGGGGTCAATAGCATCAAATCTGTAACAAGGAAGGAGAAAATGCATGGCTGGACCGTGAATCGAAGAAGGGACCCCTGCATCACCGGTCAGATGCTCTACTCACTGAGCTTACTTGGCCTATATCCATGACCCATACCATTACACTTGCATAAACTTAAAAGTATTTCATAATATATTGATTGATATTACGATACATATCTGTCAACTATCATTAACTAAAATCAATTGAAAAAAAATCAAAACACCAGTGACCACAACGAAGTAATTCTTAAAAACCATTATTAAATGACTGTTAACGGTGCTTATAAATTTCTAAAATTTAAAATTCTAGTTTTCCTGCTGGCAATTATTGTTGCCAGCTAGGAATAAAACTTCTAAAATAAATGCCGCATTTCTTACAGAGTGAGAAGTATTGTGGGAGGAAAGTTGATGAATATGTTAACTTTACAAATAACATGGTGAATTGCATTTTCTTCAATAAAAGCACAATTAAAAAAACTTAAAGTGATATGAGAATTACTAGAGTATATTTAGGGGTGTTAGATACAAGTCATTAGAAAATAAGACCTCAATAACTTAGTGTAATGAATATGTTATTTTATTTTTTTAAATTTATTTAACCTATTGACTGCTTTATTTGAAAATGAATACTAGTAACAGCAAATAGTTCATTGTTGTGCTAATTTGCTTCAAGATTTCCCGACCTCAAAAACTGCATATTCTTTGAGGATCATACTTTCTTATATGATTGCCAATTTTTCTTAAAATAATCACTGGTTTTATATTTACAGGCTAATTGAATCTTCAATTTATTCTCTTTTAAGTAAAAATCTGAAAAAAAAATTCCATTAACTTAAATCAGAATTCACTTAAACCTACATGAATATATCCCTTACTCAGATAAGTATACAATGATTTTTCACAACATAACGGTATATAAAACAATAAAACATTGACTTTATAATTGAGTTATTGTTTAAATTAATTTTTTTTTTTACATAATATTAAATCTAAAATTGAATTTTAAAGCAATTGGTTAATTTTTTTCATCAAAGTGCAATATTTTCTTTGAAAAATATAGTTAAAAAGCTAAAAAATCATTTTAAAATATATTTTTTGAAAATTTGGTTTCCATGGCAACATAAAAGAAAAGATTTTTTAAAAAAAATTTATCAATTAATAAAACACAACATTTGCTATATATTTGCCAAATTTTAAGCAAATTGGTTGTCAACAATTTTAGATATTTGCATTTTAGTACACCATTGTGATAATTTTGTTGATATTACAAAACAACTCAGTCCTGAAGTAACAGCGCGCGTAAAACAAGTCAGCACACAAAGGGTTAAATTACAACTTTGTTCGTAATATGTATTGATTAGTTTTAATGAATATACAATAACAAAATCATGTTCCTGTTTTACTGCTCTTTTGGGACTAAAATAATGTGTTTAAATGTGTAGAGAAGTCCGTGAATAGCCCCGCTTAGCTATAAAAACCGATATTCATCAGCAACTTGATGCAATTTACATTGTTTATACTGCAAAAGACGACACATCAATGTGGTGTAAACAAGTATTTCATGCTACAGCCAAACATGCATTTGAATTGTTCAGGTTTGATACGTGTTTCTGATCTGATAATTTTTTGATGATGTTCGTGATTTATTGGAGAATAATGTTTGCGGCTTTTCTTTGATCCTTGCAATAATCGTGGTAGAATAAAAAATAAAACACTATGGAATTTGATTTCTGTGATAATTGTTTTTTAATATTGAAATATAAACTAAAATGTTGCACTACATTCCAAATAAAACTTTCCACCTGCTTATAAGACACCTTAGGAGATATACCGGTATTCTTATCTTATCACATGATTATAAATAAGTTATATTGAAAATATATTACAATATGTAATAATCAACATTATAAGTTAATTTAGAAAAATCCGTATCAAAGTTAAGAATTTTAAGGAAAATATTTTTCCCACCTATACTTCTCTTGCCAATCTTTTTATTCAAAGCTGGGAATGGGCAAACAATATTATTTTAAAGTCAGAGGGCCTGGTCTTGTATATTTTATTGTTTTATACAGGTTTGTTTTACATATGTTAACATGACTCATTGACAAGTGGTGCAGTGGTAGAGCATCTGCTCTAGAGTCACAGAGTAAGGAGTTAATTGTCATCTGAAGTTTTGTCCCTGCCAGCATGAAAAATTGATTGTCTTGGGTGGTCGGGCGGGCCATAATTTCCAACTCTGCTGACCTTATGTCGCAGGTTCCAATCCCATTGTGGGATGAGGAGACTGGTTCCTGGGATGCAACGGTATAAACCGAGGTCCAGTGTTGCAGTAGGTGCTGGCACAAAAAAGATCCCTCAATGCTCAATGGCCATGAGTGCTGAGTATTGGTTAAAATTTACAGCTCCCCATCGGCAAATGGTGGCATCTCCATTTTGAAAAATTCTTGACAGAGATTTTAAACAACAAACAAATAATTGACTTATCTTACATGTGCAAACATGGTTTATCAAAAGTCTATATTTAACCATAAAGTTAATAGTTTTGGCAATAATGCATATCGCGTGCAACAAACTTCAGGAGATCCTCTAATTGTATACATGCATCATACAGCTGTAATACTGTTATAGTGGTACCTATAGGCATTAAGAACCAGTTATCTCCCTTTATGAATTCAGCAGCTGCTCTTTAAGAAATTGCATTTTAATTTTCTTGTTCTCTATAATGTTTAAATTCTCCTTCTTGGGGTCAGCAAAAGTTGAAATGCATGCTTGACTCATTCAAGAAGTATCAAATTGAAATAAGAAAAAACAAATCTTCACTGGATATTTTAACATCACAATATCGACATGGAACTTAATCGCAGCCCATTTTTTTTCACCGGCATTGAAAAGCTAGATGTATTTTTTTTTCCATTGTGTTCCATCTTGTACTGGATAAAATTTCATCTCCCACTTTATATAGCCCTTAAAAAATCTTCTTTTTTTTTTACTAACAACTTCTTCAAATCTGAAATGTTGTTGTGTTATATGATATTTTCTTAACTTAAACACCAAAATGCTTTCTTTGTGTGAGACAAAAAATAAATAACCTGCTTAAGCTATGGTTGCAACTATTAATCCTGCATGAAGAACAGAGAAAAATATTTTTTATTATTTAAATTATGTCTTTTTAATGATAGCATATAGTATAAACAAGGTTTAAGCACAAGTCATATTAAACATACTGTTTTATTGTGAAGTTGGTAATATTCCATTTCATTAAATGAATAGCACACTGCTTTATTTATTTTTTTTTTTTAAATCAAGAAACATTTTAATATATAACAAATACTTGACATACTACTGGTAAATTAAAAAAGTAGGCTATTTAGGAAACATTTTAATGTATCATTATATTTCAAATAGATAATTTATTAAATTTGAAATGGATATTTTGATTTTCGTGTATTTGTTAATTGGAAAATGTGCATTTTTTTTTAATATTTACATTTGCTGAATTTTTCTATTTTAACTCAATAACTATGAAATTGATTTGAAGGCCATTCTCATGTATACTCACATGTAGAAATTAATATATAGGGAGAAACTTGCACTAAACTGATGTTATGATGATGATTAATTAATTAAGGTATAAAAAAATATAGGGCACCGAGAAATTAAAAATTGAGTACATTTCCATTGCTTTATAGTTATAAACATGTAAAAAGTAAAAAATATAAGAAATGTTTCAAGGTTAAGTGTGAATTATTTGTGTGAAAATCTCAAGGACTTGAAGGTAGGCGTACATATTTTTCTTTAAGCGCCATAAGCTCACTTCATGAAATATGCCTACGCGACAAGTCGATGTGATTTACACACCAATAACTCCCACAAAACTTTAAAAATTCCTGAAATAGATTATGAATACAGAATAAAAATATATAAATATCCCTCATATTATAACATAGTATGCAAGGATTATATCTTTTAATATATAAACAAATACTATTAAATATAATTTAAAAAATTATCAGTAAAGATTTAGAGGTATTAGTTAATTTGATAATTTTACCTCTACCCTAAAAAATGATTATTAATAATATGAAGTGCAGAAATGCAACATTCACTTTAAGTTTAAGTGAGCCTAAACATCAGTGAGATTTTCTAGACATTATTAAACCATTCAATTCAGTTATTCTGCACCTATATATGTAATATTACACTGTTAAATTCCCTTTTCCTTTCATCAAGGGAGAAAAATGCAGTGCACCACCATTTGTAAATATTTTCTAAAGTGACAAAAGTCATGCCCCTTTCCTATGGTAATTTTCATAGTAATAAACCCCAAATAATGCTTCCCCCACATCCAATTTTGTTCAGATTAAAAAAAAAAACTTTTGCATTATGACAATTAAAACTTCTGCATTAAAACAAAAGAAATTGTATTGTAATTAGTTTGATTGTGTCTCATGGTAAATTGAGAGGATCAGTTGTCAGAAATCCCATGAAGGATGAGTTCAGCTCCCTTTGGATCAAGGGAAGGTTTGATACGGGTTCAAGATTTTACTTACGAATTGGAAGAGAAAAATGTTTAAAAATGTTCTGAAGAGCATGCAATCAGGGCCAAAGTGATTCAGATGAGTGTTGTTGTGCCCTGGGCATGAGTCTACCAGTATTAGTCACAATACACGTATCATTAAACTTTTTCAGAGACAAAAACCAAATAATAAAGACTGCTGAAAGAGTGAAGAGTGAGGTTGGAGATGTTACCATCTTAATCAACAATGCAGGAGTGGTAACGGGGAAAAAGTTGATAGATACACCAGATATGCTAATTAGGAGAACATTTGATGTCAACCTCCTAGCACATTTCTGGGTAAGCAATGAAGCATATAACAATGTTACAATTTCATGAAAATTCATCAAGAAACATATACATATATTAAGAAACATTGTTAGTCTGACTCTCTGAATAATGAAACCTGTAGCTCCCCTTTGTCACAGTAACATTCCTTGGCATCAAGTGATATAAAGAGGATTGACTGGTGTGCAGATCGAACTTTTTACTGCATTTATATAAAACATTCAATATATTCATGATATTATAATAAATACTGTAAGTAACTGGGGGTAGCATCGTAATATTTATTCTGAAAAAAAAAAACCCACAAAAACATTGCCATCCTTGTTTGTGCCTCGGTTGACAGTGGTTTTATTGGGGTGAAAATTTTCATTGTTACCCTAAATATTGCAGTACTTGTGGATCATGTATTTATATGTATAATGTAATAATTAATGGGCAAGACTGAACAATATTCAATGCAAATCATCTCTAAAATTCCAGGAGGAAGAATGTTACTTAAAACTTGGACACGGGGGAGCTACAGGTTTCATTATTTAGAAAGTAACAAGTTTCAACATGGAAATATTGACATTTAGCTTCATTATTTTTTCCTCATTTTTCAGAGACGATACAAAAATTGTTTTATTTGCAAATAAGATGCTTCAGGGTGTAGAATTGCTGTTAATAAATTGAATGTACATTTGTACATGTGGTAAAGTATGATTATCCAAAAAAAAAAAACATGAAGAAAAGTCATGCAGAAAGTGATTTCAGTTATTAAATTAAAAAAATATGAAAATCTCTCTCTCATGTGATGACCAGTTCACACAGTTACAATATATGTTTTGGTATAGACAAGTAATTTTCTGAATCGATCTTCTTACATTTCTTTTTAGAAAAATCTTTAATACTGTATGAATTCATTACCCAGTAACAGTATAAATTTAAAACTCTAAAACATTTAAAATATTTCCCATGTAAAATACCATGACTTAATTGTTTGATGAATCTGTCAGAATTTCTAATCAAAGCATTTAGAAGCAACAATTTACAAGAATTTCAAACTATAATTACAATATGTTCCATTGTGAAAAACCTTTTAATCAAGAAACCATGTATTCATAATAAATACCTATTACATGAATTCAAACTGCTATGAGAAACTGTGAATAGAAATTATTTCTTATCAGTTAATGTTGGGTATATACTTACATCTTAACACATTCTAACATGTGAAACACAACTAAAACTAATCCTTTAGCAAGATTAATTGAATGACTTAGTTTGTAGTTTCCCTATATTATCAGATTTAATCTTTATAATAAAAATCCATTTGTATGAGATGTACAATGTATTTATACTCTAAAACATAGATTTTATGTTAATTGAATTAATATTTTGATATGTCATTTGAAATATTGAAGTGTAAACTGGGAAGTGTTTAAAAATCACTCTGAATTTACATACTCCCTGCTTGTTGATCTCCATCAAAATGGTGCAATTAGAAAGCTAAATGTATACCAAGATGTTTACATGATGTTAATGGAACATAATTAATAAAAAAAACCCATAAAATTCTATTCTCTATTTTTAGCCATGGTAAAACATGATTATAGCAAACAAACTTACATGAATTAACAGTATTGAATTGATGCTTACGCCTTACAGCGAAGTTATTTTCATTCCCCTGGCTGTAAAATGTTTTACTGTACATATTTTTAAGATTTGGCATGCTACCTTTGAGAGTCAGCAGATATAATAGATATTGTTTGATTAAGGACAATGGCAAGTCACAGTTATCCGGAGAAAAAAAGGTTTATATCATGGGTTTATTCACTTATACAAATGTGATTGAGAGTGATCTCCCGTGTAAAATTCTCTATGAAATGAAAACCAACGAAGCGTATTTTACAGAGGTAAACAATAACACGTGCTTCCTTCAACGGGTAGAATCATCTCTACAGCAAGAAAGAAAAACGGTTTTGTTGTACATTGTGTTCAGGGACAGACAGTACACAGTGGTCAACAGACCGTTATTTACCGTTTACCCATGCTGGGAATGACAATCACATGACAAGACATGACAAATGCCGAGAATGTAACTGAATGAGGTCGTGCAAAGGAGGCACCATTTACTGTAAACAAATATAAAACAAGTCTATGCCAATATTTTTATGAAAATTTGTTTCCAATATGGTAAATTACTTAGTAACATAAACAGTCAAACAGTCTTTACCATTATCAGGGTTCGACATTCGCGCTCGTCACCTCGCCATTTCCACCCTAAAATGATTTCGGACGACCTGATTTTCAGTCTGGCTCGCCCAAATGACGACCTGGGACAAGTTAGGAATATTTAATAATGATGTTTAATATTTTAAACTTAACTTCATAAGACCTTGAAAACATATTTTCCTGTAACAAAACCAACTCATTCAACATGTTCAAATTGCAGCCGCGAAGATTTCTGCCAAAGATCCTGCCAGATCGTTCGATTAATCAGCTGATGCAAATTTTACTAAAAGTCTTTAATAAAGTATTATTTGAGATATAAAAAATGCCAACTTAGTCAACAATCACATTAAATATAAATAGTAATAATCATCATTGTAACATCTTGCATTTTCCCCTACAACTAATTTTTGATCATAATGATCGTTTTCTGCTGCTAGACAGCCATTTTGGGTGTCCACTGTAATGTTACACCTGATTAATTCAGTCCAGGGCTATTTGACTCTATATATTTAGACCTTCATGGCAAGTGAAAATGAATGTTTTGAGTTACAAACTTTAGCAATCTGCATGTCTGATTCTTCTTATATTTTTGTTTGATAAAATACTAGAAGACATCTTTAAATTCCAAAAATGTCTGGTTTACATTTTTTAATACAAAAGTGAAAAACACAACTTCTATTAATTATCTTAAGAAATTGTAAACAATTGTACATTAAGTTTTGTTTCAATGAATTTTATTTGGACGACCTGAAATTCATTTGGGCAACCTGTGATCATACCAAGGTTGCCCGAATGGCGAGACCAAATTTTGACGAGTGTCGGACCCTGATTATGAATATGAATTAGATTCTTAAATGATGAAGAAATACCAAAGCTTTCTAGTAAGGAAACAGAATCTATAGAAGGTGAAATTACTTTGGAAGAAGCCTCAGAAACACTCTACAAAATGAAATCTTATAAATCTCCAGGTTCTGATGGTTTTTCTGCTGAATTTTTTAAGATGTTTTGGAAATATATTGGTCCCTTTGTAGTTAGATCTATAAATTACAGTTATAGAAGTGGAAGTCTCTCTATTACACAAAGACATGGCATTATTACACTTTTACCAAAAGGTGATAAGCCAAGACAATACTTAAAGAATTGGAGACCAATCACTTTGTTAAATACTATCTATAAAATTGCATCGGGTACTATAGCAAATAGAGTAAAAAGATACCTTGACAAAATTATTAACAAAGATCAAACAGGTTTCATCTCTAATAGATATATAGGTGAAAATACAAGGTTAATATATGATATAATGCATTATACGGAAGAAGAAAATATACCTGGGTTATTATTACTTATTGATTTTGAAAAAGCCTTTGATACTTTGTCCTGGAATTTTATTCAAGGAGCACTTAAATTTTTTAACTTTGGTCCCTCAATTAGGAATTGGGTGTCACTTTTTAATACGGACATTACATCTGCAATAAATCAAGGTGGTAATCTTTCTGAAAGAATTAACATCCAGCGGGGTTGCAGACAAGGGGACCCATTATCCCCTTATATATTCATTATATGTGCAGAAATACTAGCAATTCAAATTAGATTAAACAAAAATATTAAAGGAATAACTGTGAACAATACTGAAAAAAAGATTTCTCAATTAGCTGATGACACTTCTCTTATTCTTGATGGTAGTAAAGAATCCCTTGTTAAAAACATTAAAGAGTTTTTCAGAAATGTCTGGCTTACAATTATTAATTATGCCAAAACTCATATAGTATGGATAGGCTCCAAAAAGTATAGCAATGAAATATTACTGCCAAATTACAATCTTAACTGGGGAACTACTAGATTTACCCTTCTAGGAATACATTTTGATGTGGAATTGGATAAGTTACTATATTTAAATTATGATCCCAAGCTAGTACAGATTAAATCAATACTTAGACAATGGGAGAAAAGGTACCTAACTCCAATTGGGAAAATAACAGTCATTAAGACATTAGTTTTACCTCTATTAAATCACATTTTAATGTCAATACCAAATCCCACTGAATCATACTGCAAAGAATTAGACAAAATATTCTTCTCATTTCTATGGAATAATTCAATTCATAGGGTTAAAAAAGAAGTTATTATTAAAAATTATGAAGATGGGGGATTGAAAATGTTAAACCTAAAGTCTTTTATATCATCTATGAAATTATTTTGGATAAGACAGCTTATTTTTACAAATAGGGGTATGGAACATCTCATTCCAAATTTCAACTTAGACAAATTTATAAATTGTGGAATTGACTATGTCACAATCTATCTGAAGACTTTGAAAAATAAATTTTGGATAGATGTTTTCAAATCCTAAATACTACAAAATCATGAGATAGTATCTGAGGTTGCTGGTGACTCACCTCTGTTTTACAACCCAATGATTCGTATTGGGGGGAAACCCTTTTATAATAAACAAATGTTTAACAACAACATTAGAAGAGTTAATGATATTATCAATGAAGATGGTTCTTTTTTAAGTTTTGAATCTTTTTGTAATACCTATCCCATGATTAAGATGAATTTTTTAGAATATAGTAGTATTATTCATGCTATAAAATCTTGGATAAAAAATTCTGGCCTTGACATACCTATTAAAAAGCTAGAAAACCCATTAATTATGAGAATTATCTACAAGGTGATGAAATGTCACAAATCCAAATGTTTTTATGAAATTCTTAACCATAACTCCTCTATGTCAACAGGTAAAACAAAGTGGAGTGAGATGTTACAGATTGACAATAAAGAATGGAAAAAATTCCACAAAATACCCTTCAGAGTGACAAAAGACTGTAAACTCCAATGGTTTCAATATAGAATTATAAACAGAATTCTAGCGACAAATTCATTTTTATTCAAAATTAACAAAAATGACTCTAAATACTGCAACTTTTGCCTCTCAGAAGAAGAAACAATAGAACACCTTTTATGGGAATGTGATTATACACAATCTTTTCTAGAAGAATTTGTAATTTTTCTTGAAGATAAGACTGGTCTAGTCATTAATATTACAAAAAAATCTTTTATTTTAGGTTACATTGAGAATAATACTGATATTCAAAATACTATTGCCCTTTGGCTGAAATATTATGTTTACACATCAAGATGTACTAAGAAATCTTTGAATTTATGTGCTGCAATATCACAAATGAAGTTTTATTATGAAATACACAAATTTATATCTTATAGAAATAGTGGAAAAGAAAAATTTGATGCCCAGTGGATCAGATGGAACCAACTTTTCTATTAAACTCTCTCTTTCACTACTATCTCTCTCTCTCTCCTCTCTTTCTTTTGCTCTCCTCTATTCCTCTTTCTACCTATCTCTATTTAAAAAAAAAAAAACATCATGTATTAATTCAATGTTTTATATTGTAAAAAGAGATGTGAATAAAAAAAAAAAAAAAAAAAAAAAAGATTCTAAGGGAAGTAACCCTAAAATAATGCATAGTGTTGGTAGATCTGGGTCATGTTTCTAAATTTGTGTTTTCAGTCATGATATCTAGATATGATTGGAAATGAGGATGCAATAATGTATATAATATATAAACTTTCTGAAATGACTGGATTTTGGAAAATTTTTATGGTAAAAAATTAAGTAGGTCCTTTTTATCAACACTTTACATATGAAATGCATTGAGAATTGTAAAAACATTGATTTGACAAAATCTAACTAGTGCTAATTGTAACGGGAACCGTTACAGATGTTCCCCAAACGCTCCCCAACTCCCTTCTCGTGCCATATTCCCTGTAATCTCTATTAAATAAGAAATACTTTATGGAATTTAGACTTAATCAAGGTCTTCCCAGAAAAATACAAAATATATTTAAAAATAGGCATTGCACGCGTGTTCATGTGCGTAACGACCATATTATCTTGTCTACGCTATCTAAAATTTTAATATACTTAATATCAAAGCATTTAATCCAAAAGTATTAAAAAATACACTCATTCGAGTGTATTTTTTATTTTACTCATTTCACGTGCACGTACGTGCAAGCACGTGCATAATTACTACACCTTCTTGTAGGAGTCCCTTATATTTATCTATGTTCTAAATCCCATCCTGTTTGGTTGAAAAACAAGGGAGTTATAGCCATTTGAAGTTTCAGCCAATCACATTGCAGCACACATGCATGCGCGTGATTTCATATATTTTTATCTTTTTCGTATTGAAGGATATCTAAATGAATGACTATATTTTAAAATTCCAAACATTTCGTCAAAAAACAAAGGAGATATAGCCATATAAAGTTTCAGCCAATCAGATTGCAGCACACGTGCATGCGCGTGATTTCATGAATTTTTTTTCTATATCATATTTTAGGATATCCTAATGCATGACTATGTTTTAAATTTCAAAGCATTTCGTCAAAAAACAAAGGAGATATAGCCATTTAAAGTTTCAGCCAATCAGATTGCAGCCCGCGCGCATGCGCATGCTTTCATGAAAATTTTTATATATCATGCTGTAGATATTCATAATGTAGGACTATGTTCAAAATTTCAAAAGATTATGACAAGAAACAAGAAAGATATTGAGACTTTAGTTTCAGCCAATCAGAGCGAAGCGCACGTGCATGCGCGTGAGATCTTGCTATTTTGACCATGCCATCTTATCTATACTACTAATGTATCCTTCCATTATGAGTTTCAAAAAATTTGATCTAAAAAAAGAAAAGTTACAGCAATATCCATTATAATGGTCATTTCACGTGTTGCACGTGCGCGCTCTTGGAAGCACGTGCGCGCAAAATGACCTTCGTTCGGCAAATCTACATAACATGTCTACTGACCCTAGAAACATTTTACCTTAGTCGTATGTGTAGTTTACAAGATCACTCGTGGACAAAATTTTCCCAGGAAGAAGAAAAATAATAATAATAATAATAAGAAACAGAGTAAAAACAATATGTTCCCCAACTTCGTTTGGGGAACATAATAAGGAAGGGTGGCTTGGTGGGTTAAATGTACCAGAATATAACACGTTTTTTATCATTAAAACTGTTCAAGAGTTCTTGAAAAAATCTATACAAAAGCCAGGAACCTTGCCAATGTCCTTAATGAACCTAAAAGAACTTTTAAACTGATATGTCTAATATATGTATCCCTAATATTACATAATTAACTAATTAAGGTTGTATGGAACTTGTATCTGGAGGAAGGTTTGTATTTTGTTAAAGTGATGTTATTCTTACAAAATGTGTTTTATTCCTTACTTTCCAGACGGTGAAATGTTTTCTTCCGTCAATGCTGAAAAGTAACCATGGTCATATTGTGAACATATCCAGTTCTACAGGATTAGTGGGTAGGTATTACTTGTTCTGAAAAACAACCATGATCATATTGTGAACATATCCAGTTGTGATTATTGGCTAAAATTTAACGGAATTTTCAACCTCTTTCAAAGAATCCCTAGGCTAAGGTGGACAAAACAAACTAGAGCTACAGTTTAAATAGAGACCTTTCATTATTCAAAATATGACACAATAACTGGGCTACACATATCATTTTAGGGCTGAACAAACTAGAGCTACAGTCTCAATAGAGAACTTGCATTATAAAAAATGTAGGATCGTAATTGAGCTGTATCATTTCAGGGTTGAACAAACTGACAGACTACAGTGCGTCTAAGTTTGGTGTGGTGGGATTTACAGAGGTGCTGAATTACGAGATCATCTTCTCAGGTTACACAGGGGTTCACACCACTCTTGTGTGCTCATCTTACATCAAAACTGGCATGTTTGCTGGATGTGAAATGAGGTAAGAAAAATTAATATAACTGGAAAAAATTATTTCAGTATTTTTAGCTCACCTGAGCTGATGGCTCAAGTGTGTTTTACTGATCACATTTTGTCCTGCACCTGTCTAGCTGTCCATCATATATATCTATATCTGTATAAAATTTTCACAATTTTGACTTCATCTCCAGAACCATTGGGCCAATTTCAACTAAACATACCACAAAGCATCCTTGGGTGAAGGGGATTCATTCAAGTATTTTAAGTGAAGGGCTACACCCTTTTTCAAGGGGAGATAATTAAGAAAAAATGAAAATTTGGTGGCATGTTTTAAAATTCTTCTTCTGAAGAACCACTTAGTACTGGGTCAGGAAAGATGAAACTTATGTGGAAGCATCCTCAGGTTGTGTAGATTCAAGTTTGTTCAATTCATAACCCCTGGGGGTAGGGCAGGATCACAATGGACGATCAAAGTTTAACATAGGAATACACAGGAAAAATCTTTAAAATTCTTCTCAAGAACAACAAGGCCTGATTGGTCATATTTATATGGAAGCATGCTTAGGTAGTGCTTAGGTAATATAGATTTAAGTTTGTTCAAATCATGACCCCTTGGGGTAGGGTTGGGCCATGATGGGGGGTTAAAGTTTAACAAAGAAACATATAGGAAAAATCTTTAAAAATCTTCTTCTGAAGATCAACAAAGCCATGATTGGTCATATTTATATGGAAGCATTCTCAGGTAGTGTAGATTCAAGTTTGTTCAAGTCATAACCCATCAGGGTAGGGCTGGGTCACAATGAAAGTTCAAACATGTATTGAAAAAAGCCACAGTAAATCAAAAAAATATGTAAGCATTCTTAGTTATTATTGATTCAAGTTACATGTAGTACAAATCATACCCCACCCCACCCCCTTTTTAAGGGTAGGTCAGGAACATTTTAGACATTTAAGCTTTTTCAATGCTGGATTGATATATGCTTTTTTTCTAGTCACAGTGCTCAGGTGAGCGATGTGGCACATGGGCCTCTTGTTTTATCGCAGTTAATCTAAGTTTGTAAAAAGGTTTATATAATCTTTAGGTGGCATTTATTATTTGAATTGTTTCTTGGCATTTGTTTGGAGATGAAACAATACATCTACTCTTTATGTTTTATTTTAGCATTCTGTTTATTAACTGAGAAAATTTATTATTTGTTAATGTAAATAAAAGATTGGATGTCAATGGCAGAAGTCTTTGCTTAAGGAATGAATTTAATAGCTACCCATTTTATACGATATAAACTGGGTTGGGGCAGTTTACGCTTTAGAAACAGCGAAGCGGTTTATAAAAAAGTGTAAACTGTTCCAACCCAGTTTATACCATATAAAATCTGTAGCTATTAAATTCATTGCATATGATTTAATTTTCATTCATTTGATGTAAGAAAAAAAGATGATTGTTCTAACAAAATGACTTCAATTTGTACAAAATTTGAATGTAACGTCAGGCAGATTGATACATTTTTGACGTAAGTCATTGTGACATAGGCAACCCATTTTATATGATATAAAGTAATTTTTTTATCCAATCAAATACAGCGTTACAACCAGAATTAAATTATATTCAAATATAGACTGTCTTTTGCGAATAAATTAAGAATTGATATTGCTCTAAAGTATCTGCTTGTCACTGTCCACCAATAACCAATTCTTACCAAAAAATTGATCACAGAATTCTATTTTACCAGATTTCCATGGTTACTCCCAGCTTTGGAGGTTGAGGAAACAGCCAATAGAATAATGCAGGGAATTCTAACCAATCAATATATTATCTGTATCCCACGACTAGTTTACTTTCTTACCTATTTAAAGATGTAAGTTTTTAACAAGTTAAGCTCTTTCTTACTTGATGAAGTAAACACATTTGCTCATTTAATCCAGTAACATCTTCTAAGTAAAGTCATTTTATTGATAGATACATAATATACAGATTTGCTATAGTTCATTAATAATTTAATGGTATTTTTATTGACACCCATTTTTGCAGATGACTTTTACTTATAACAGATTACTTATTTTGGTCACTGAGTCACTCAAGTGACATATTGCTACTTGTTTTTGTTCACCATCATACATCTTCCGCCATGTTAACATTTTTAGCTTCTCTATAACCAATGAGCCAGTTTCAACTTTTAATACGGGTATGATCATATAGTGAAAATGCAAACATTTTCAGAAAATCTCTGTTCCAGAGTATTAAGCAGACAATCTAAGTGCATTGAAATGATGAACAAGGGTGCCTCTTCTAATACTTTGAAAGTCATGGTCCGTGCATCAGGGTAATTCTTGCGTTCGGGTGGGGCTCTATTGACTATATACTGCAATGAAAATCCTTTACCATTTTCTTTTGTATTGTAAAACTTTTTGATCTTAATTAATGGATTACTTTGACTAAAAAACGTATTTTTAGCAATCACTTAAAAAAACTGTTTTTAGCTCATCTCAACAAAGTTTTTAGCTCACCTCAATGAAGTTTGGGGAGCTTATGTGATACCCTCAGTGTTGGTGTCGGTTAAGTTTTTTTGAGCAGTTTTCTTTTTAAGTACTTCTATGCCCTATATTGATTAGACATGCATGGAAGATGCGTCTAGTGTGTTTCATTGTACCACCCGAGGTTTCAGATGCTGCAATTTCAGCAAATAAATGACCAGGTTAATGTTTTTGGAGCAGGTTAACATTTTTGGTGCAATTTTTGGTGTAGGTCTCATTTCCAAGAAACTATAAGCCCTATGTTGACCAGACTTGCATGGATGATACATCTAAGGATGTACACTTCCAGGCTTGCTTTGGATGCTGAATCTGACCTACATTTTCCTGAAGAGAGAACAGGTTAAAGTTTTTGGTGCAGGTCTCATTTCCAAGTTACTATGAACCCTGTAATGACCAAGCTTGCATGAATGATACATCAAAGGATGCACACTAATGGTCTTGCCTGGTTGCTGAATTTGACATAAATTTTTCAGAAAATGGACCAGGTAAAATTATTGGGTGCAGGTATATCGCCAAGAAACAGTGCCGTCTATTTTAATCATACTTGCACAATTGATGCATCAAGGAATGAAAACTCAATCTTGCTTCAGAGGCTGGATTTGAATTACGTTTTCTTAATGGGCGACTAGTTTGAAGTTTTTTGATAGGTCTATTCCAAAGAAACTGCAAGCCCTATCAGATCAAAATTGCATAAATTTTTAACATTTGTATGTGCACTGTTAGAATGTTGGTTAATTGCATGAGTTTGCCTTACTTAAAGACAAAATTTGTTGAGGTGAGCTCTCATCTATGATTACCTATGTTTTTTTTTGAATTACTTGTAATTTTATAGATAAAGCATGCATCCTAGTCAGAAATAAACCCTCTTCTCTTAATTTGTTTAAAAAGCTTTACCATATAGTCTGCAATTTTAACTGAATTTCAGGAATGGACTACATTCAATTCTTATACAATTAATCAACCAAAAAGCATGATTCTTGGTGTTAGCATGAACATTCTGAAGTTGCTCAAATTAAGAGATTGCCTTTGAGATTAATTTTCAGTCTATTGTGGAGAGTTTAAGGGGTTGTCTACAGAAAAGCCTTTTCTCATTTAAGTAACTCAGTGGACACATTTACATCAGATTTAAGGCACGATATGCAGTATTGATTTTACTTTTCATTTACTATTGTCTCATTATTTCTAATTAAGCTAGGTGGAAGTAGAGTTAATTGCTTTAGGAACAATCAATTTTTATGAATTGAGACTTGTGTGCTCCATTGCACTCCATATCTTTCTAAAAATTGCCATAAAAGATAAACTCTAATGTTTCCATATGTAGCATAAAATTATGCTTAATCAATCTGTAAACATTAAATACCCCATTTTTGAGTTCTTAGAATGATTTGAAAGATTTTCCTTCTATTATTATAAATCACCCTTGGATGGTAAATGTCTATTCATTTTGAGGAAAATATCCGTAAAGCATTATCATGCCATTGAGAAAATAATCTGTTTGTGAGGAGACAACCATCATTGATTTTGAAGTCAGTAATAAGTCTATCATAAGCTACCTGCAGAGAAGAATCCTTAATTAATCATGAAAGAGATTGTACTGGTTTGTATAGAACAATACCAGATTAATTTTGGCTCACCATGAATATATCCATATTAAGGAAATGACTTCTTAATATTTTTAGTCAGGGAATGTGTATGGTTTTGCATTGGGAAATAGCTTTTCTTTTCTTAGAATTTTTATATTGAACAGTGAATGGGAAATTGGTCAACTTGGTAAAAGTTCAGGCAGACATACATGTAGCCATGTGTAGAAATTGCAAATAAGCAAATAATAACCAAAGATGTGTTCAGAAATATCCAAAGATATACTGTACTTGCTCTACCACTTTATTTAAGCATAATTATGAGAGAAGTGTTATCTTGTGCAAAAAAAAGGTGTCACGAAAATTTGGTGATCTACATTACATAACATTTAAAATCATGTTATATTATATATATTTTGCATTAAAAAATGAATAAAGGCTACAAGAGATTGCTTCAGGGTGATGGGATAAGGAGGAGGCAAAACAGCTCACAATATCACTGGTCCTGAGTCTGCTTGTGGCTGTGGGACTCCTGATAAACGTCATTATTATTTTAAGGGGCTGACTGCATGTAGGGATGTTCTCTGAAGAAATTGTAAATCCTGACTGTTTTCTTATCTCTCCGCCAATCAGATGAAGCTTTTTAGTGACAACTCAATTGGTGCTTCATAATGAAAGAATCCCCTGCCCCTCCCCCCAAAAAGAGAAGTTTTCAGGGGTCCCATGGCTACTACATGTAGTTGAATTGGAAACTTTGACATTGTGAGGATGGGATGGCAAAAATGAACATGAATTTGTCAATATAAATTACATATTCACTGACACTGATGCATGTCATCTTTTTGAATAGGATGGTACATTGCATTTTTCTTTATAGGATCCTCCCTGTTGATGCCTTTCTGGAAGTGGTCAGATTCTTTGGTGCTGCAACATTTATGGACACATATGTTGGAAAAGAAGCCAACATTTTAATTCACCAAAATGGGGCATCATAAAATCCAAACCTATATGTCATTGTTAACACTTTAATTTATGTTAGCAAAAGAAATGGGAAGTCTGCAATATATTGTTATCATTCTCCAGTGGCAATAGCATGTAGTTTGTTTTAATGTCACTCTGTTGTAGATTGAAAATATTGGTTCTGAGCTTTTGAAAAGAATAGCAATTTGTTGCTGGAAAAGTATACTGTATATATTGCTTTACAAACCAAGGTTTAAGGAATGGCAAAAATACATGTTTATTCTCTTTTGAAACAATAAATTGAATGATAGCATTTGTACATGTATTATGGAGCTAAACTAGTCTGGTTAGATCACTGTTGTGTACATAAACTCTTCTCTAAAATCAGAATATGTTATTCTTAGAGCACCTTGGTTGATATCTTCCATTATTTCGACATTGCAGGAGTGAAATATTGATGAAATGAAAATAAGAGATAAAATGTAAGGTACGGTGTACAAGTATATAGTTAATGAAATTAGAGATTACATAAGACAGATAAGTAGTATTGACTGTGAAGAGCTTAGGAATTAAGTAAGGACAGATGAGGACCATATTGTATTGTTATGGATGATAGAAATTTTTTGTTGTTTGGATCATTAGTTGTCAGCTATCCAATATTAAGCTTAGTATTGCTTCAAGTTATGTATAAGATTTAGATTGCATGACTGATATATATGGAGATAAGGAACAGTATTCGAGCTCAAATGTACATTAAACAATACACAATAGGAGTGGAGCAAACAAGAACCTCCAAAACATCGGAGGTGGGATCAGGTGCCATGGAGGAGTGAGCATCCCCTGCCAACCAGTCACACCCACCATGTGCTCCTTGTCAGGGTCCAGAAATAACGGAAAATGACTGTATATTGTTATTATTTTCCCATGTATATTTACAATGCTTTTATTATATGAAATTTAAAACTCAAACAACAACATCTGACAATTTAATTAAATATTGTGTTATCATAAGAAATCTACATAGTTATGACATTAAAAAACGACATAAGAAATTACAACCAAATAGAGATTATTGCTGTTTTTATGGTCAATACAATTATCTACCTTTCTCTGTAGCATTCACTGAGCCCAAAGACAAGACTTGATATGGTTGTTCAATCATTTTATTTGAATTAAGCAAAGTGTAGGTATTAAGAATAATTGTCTTATTGTGTGATTCATGAATGATGAAATGATACAAATTTTTACAATTTTTTTTAACAAACTTTGCCTTCTAGTTTGTTAATTTCTGCTGAAGCCCTATAGCTGAAGGCAGGTTGAGGTTTGGAATTTCAACTGACAACAAAAACAAGCAATCTTTTGGACATAACTGACAAACAAATTCAATTTTATATTAACCTGTAAGATCAGTTGTAGGTAGATATAACTTTATATTGTCCTGTTTAAATATGTTTTGAAGAAAGATTTTTGGGATATTAGTCAGTGTTTTTGACTTGTAAGTCCCCAGTACATTGTACATGTATATTGTTGTTTGATATTGATTTAAGCAATATGTGTAAATATAAAATTGTGTTATATATCATATAATATGTATTGTATATCTTTTTATGATGTAAATAAATCTTGCAAAGAAGAGCACAGAAATTGTTGATTATTGGCAAGTAATAAATTTCATTGAAACTGTTTTCAACTGTTTGATTACTTTGCTTTACAATTTCATGTTACCTGTATGTTATTTGATTTTTTTATTAGCTCACCTGAGCTGAAAGCTCAAGTGAGCTTTTCTGGTCATCCATTGTCAGTTGTCCGTCTGTCAACTTTTCACATTTTCAACTTCTTCTCAAGAACCACTGGACCAATTTTAACCAAACTTGGTTCAAAGCATTCTTGGGTGATGGGAAGTTTCAATTGTTAAAATGAAGGACCAAGTCCCTTTTCAAGGGGAGATATTCAAGAAAAGACAAGGAAAGGGTTGGGGCATTAAAACTTTTCTTCTCAAGAACCACTGAGCCAGAAATGCTGATGCTAATGTGGAAGCATCCTGGTGTAGTGTAGATTCTAAATTCTTAAAATCATGACCCCAGGGGGTAGGGCGCGACCACAATAGGGAATCCAAGTTTTACACAGAAATATATAGGAGAAATCTTTAAAAATCTTCTCAAGAACCACTGGGCCAGAAAAGCTGAAAGTTATGGAAGCCGCCTGAGATATTGTAGATTCTAAATTGTTAAAATCATGACCGGCCGGAGGGAGGGGGGTAGGGCTGTGCCACAATAGGTATTACAAGTTTTTCTTACTTAATATCATGAGTTCGCAAAATATAAAATAGGAGCAGAGCAAACACGGACCCCCAAAACATCAGAGGCGGGATCAGGCGCCATGGAGGAGAGTGCATCCCATGCCGACCGGTCACATCTGGACATGATCGAGATATAACGGAAAAATCCGTCGTCAATTCAGTGTAAAAATAATGGACTAACAATTAGTATGAAAAACGCCAGGCAGCATTTGACTCAATGATAAACTGCATTTGCTGACAAGGTCATGGTATCGACCCAATCTAATTAAAAATCAGATCCTTGATCCGCTCACATAGATCGCTACACAAGGTATGTGAGCGGATCAAAGGATCTGATTTTAATCAGATTGGGTATCGACTGTAGAATGATGACTTTAAAACCAGACTGCTGATTCAATAATTTATAAAGGAGATGGGTGAACATGATGAGAGATAAGCCCATAGTGCAACAAACATAAAGGTGAAAAATTAAATCTCAATTTTATCAAAATTTTCCTTAATATTTCATCTAACATTAAAGTATAAACACAACTTGCACAAATCTCATGAAAATTGAAGTTATTTGCCTATGAAATATTATACACACACGAAAGAGGACAAAACGAGTCATTTTTTCACATTATAACACTATTTTTTCGTTATGAGTGGGTCTTCTCTCCATTTTTTTTGAAAGGTAATCCTCAAAGTTTGCATAAAAACATACATATTTTGGTTTCCAAAATTATGGAGCAATGACCCACTATACCTAAAAAATATAAGTTTATGACATAACTTTCGTATCTTTTCGAGAAATACTTGAAGTCTCTTAAGTCAATGGTCATATCACAAACATGATTTAAATGCCACACTTCATCAGGGCTTGTGTAGCGTAGTGGTTTAAGCGTGCTAGTCTCAATAGATAATGCAACTCAGGATTTTTATTGCCAGGGTTCGAACCCAATGGATACCACATTATTTTTCTTAATAAAAGAATAAATTTTAACGAAAAATTTCCCTCAAACCTTTTTGTTTATCATGATTTTACAAAAATCAATGATGGGAACTTTAATCTAAATACTAAAATCACAATTTGAATATGATTTTTATATATCTGAAGCTTGTGGGTTTTTTGCACGCTAAGTTCACCCATCTCCTTATGAAATACTAGTAAATAGCAAGTACTAAGTAAGCGCCGAGCAATTCAAAAATAAGAAGCCAAACCCGTAAAATCATTTGAGATTTTCATAAAGATACAAATTCCTAAGGTTGCAGTCAGTAAAAAAACCCACTAATTTTCCAAAAGTTGTCTGTAGGACAGAATTTGTGTAGTATATCATGGAATATTAATTGATAAAGGAAGCTGGAGACGCTTAATTGTCGGTTGTGTTTGTAGTAAGCAGAGTTAAAAACCAGTGTTAATACTCAGTCTGTTATAGTTTGCATATTGTTAATACTCAGTCTGTTATAGTTTGCATATTGTTAATACTCAGTCTGTAGTTTGGATATTGTTAATACTCAGTCTGTTATAGTTTGGATATTGTTAATACTCAGTCTGTTATAGTTTGCATATTGTTAATACTCAGTCTGTTATAGTTTGGATATTGTTAATACTCAGTTTGTTATAGTTTGCATATTGTTAATACTCAGTCTGTTATAGTTTGGATATTGTAAGCTGTTTAAAAAAAGTCAGTTATGCGAGAGGTCCTGTAAGCACCATTTTTTAAGTTTAGATAAGGAACATGAAAATATATATGGCAAACCTTCATTTAATTGACTGAAAATTGCATATCAATCAGACAAAATAATTTTTTATCATACGAACTCTTCTTTATTTTTTTTATTTATTTATTTGTTTTTCAATATCAGGACAATTGTTATATTGTACATAATTTATTGGAATAATACAATTTTTAAAAAGATATTTTTTTTTATCTTTAAATGTCTTTGTTTTGTTAAAATAAACTTTCAAATGAACACTGCTGAAGAAAGAAAAAATAAATCTTTAATGTCTGATGGTAAATCTTTCATAAAATATTTCTCAATAGAATTAAAAAAAAAATCCTCGTTTGTTGTAAATTAACTTAAATTCTTCTCAGCTCACATGAGCATTTTTGATCAATATTTGTACATTGTCTGTCGTTGTTGTCATGACTGTCTTTCACTTTTCAGTTTTTCAGTTTCTCCTCTAGAACCACTTAATTCGCTTATTTTAACCAAACTCAACTCAGAGTATCCCTGAGTAGAGGGGATTTAAATTTGTGCAATGGGAGTATAAATCTTTCCAAAATAAGATGAATAAGAAATTCTGAAAATTGATTAGAATTATTTCTTCTTCTCAAGCCAATTGAATAGTTCTAGAGGATAAGAAAAGCTACTGCAGTCACTGGTTGCTATGTTAAAAAATGTAACTTCGTTTTTAGCTCTACTGGTCAGAGACCAGAAGAGCTTATGCAATAGTAATGCGTCCGTCGTCCGTCCGTCCGTCTGTCTGTCTGTAAACAATTTTTCAAAATGCTACTCCTCCTACAGTGTTGGTCCGATTTCAATATAACTTGGCACACAAGTAGACTACACTAAGATACATAATTCTGTGCATCGGTTTTCGATTTCGATGAACGGTGTTGCCATGGTTACTAAAAATAGAAATTTCTGTGAAATTCTTTCAAAATGCTACTCCTCCTACATTTTTGGTCCGATTTCAGTATAACTTGACACACAAGTAGACTATACTAAGATACATAATTCTGTGCATTGGTTTTTGATTTCAATGAACGGTGTTGCCATGGTTACTAAAAATAGAAATTTCTGTGAAATTCTTTCAAAATGCTACTCCTCCTATAGATTTGGTCCGATTTCAATATAACTTAGCACACAAGTAGACTACACTAAGATACATAATTCTGTGCATCGGTTTTTGATTTCGATGAACGGTGTTGCCATGGTTACTAAAAATAGAAATTTCTGTGAAATTCTTTCAAAATGCTACTCCTCCTACAGTTTTGGTCCGATTTCAATATAACTTGACACACAAGTAGACTACACTAAGATACATAATTCTGTGCATTGGTTTTTGATTTCAATGAACGGTGTTGCCATGGTCACTAAAAATAGAAATTTCTGTGAAATTCTTTCAAAATGCTACTCCTCCTACAGTTTTGGTCCGATTTCAGTATAACTTGACACACAAGTAGACTATACTAAGATACATAATTCTGTGCATCTGTTTTTATTTTGATGAGTGGCAAGGATCATTTTTCTATTTATTGCTGATTTAAAGTCCCAACTGCTACTGTTCTCTTCCTTTGTTTTAAGTATAAACCAGTAGAGCTACAGTCTCGACAGAGACTTCTGGTTTAAAAGTGTGTCCGCATTGTAAAATGCATCGGCAGAAAATTTAATAAAATTCATAGTATGCAAGGGTGCCAATCAGTGTCCATTTTTAACTGTCAGCTGTGTTTCTAGTCAACTGTGTTAACTCTCAGCTGCGTCAACAGTCAGCTGTGTTTACTGTCAGCTGTGTGTATAGCCAGCTGTATTAACTGTCAGCTGTGTTTATAGCCAACTGTGTAAAATGTCAACTGTGTTTATAGTCAATTGTGTGTATAGCCAGCCCTGGTAACTCTCAGCTGTGTTTATAGCCAGCCCTGTTAACTGTCAGCTGTGTTTATAGCCAGCTGTGTTAACTGTCAGCTGTATTAACTGTCAGCTGTGTTTATAGCCAGCTGTGTTAATTTTCAGATGTGTTAACCGTGAGCTGTGTCAGTTCAAAGCTGTGTTTAAAGCCATCTGTGTTAACTCTCAGCTGTGTTAATAGCCCCCCGTGTTTAGTGTCAGCTGTGTTTATAGTCAGCTGTGTTCATTGTCAGCTGTGTTTATAGTCAGCTGTGTTCATTGTCAGCTGTATTTATAGTCAGCTGTGTTTTTAGTCAGCTGTTTTAATTGTCAGATGTGTTTTTAGACAGCTGTGGTAACTGTCAGCTTTGTTTCTTGTCAGTTGTATTCACAGACAGAAGTGTTAACAGTTTTCTGTGTTAATTTCCACCTGTGTAGGTAATCAGCTGCATTAATAGTCAACCTTTCAATAGTGGCTGTTTTCATTAGTCAACTGTGTAAATTGTCATCTGTATTTACTTTCAGCTGTGTTAATAGTCAGTCACGTAAGTAGTCAGTTGCATAAATAGTCAGCAGAGGCAATAGCCCACCGTGCTAATGTTCAGATGTTTTGATAGTCTGCAGTGTAAATAGTCAGTTGTACTAATGTTCAGCCGTTTAAAAAGTCAGCTGTGTTAATGATCAGCTGTTTTAATTGTCAGCTGTATAAATAGTTAGCTATGTCATTAGTAGCCTATATTCATTTTCAGCTGTGTTAATATTCAACTTTGCTGATAGTCGGTTCTCTA